AGGCATTAGTGTCATTTGGCAAGACATTAATCCAATTTTTTTCTTCTCGATCTAGGTGATTCAGTATTAATACTGATGAGCCTATCCTGGGTAAACCATACATATCGTTATAATTATCCTCAGTAGTACTAGGAGTGGAAGTATTAGTATAAGTAGAAGTAGCAGTACTAGTAGTACTATAATTAACAGTAACAGTAGTAGTAGTAGTAGTAGTAGTAGTAGTCGTAGTCGTAGTAGTAGTAGTACTAGTACTAGTAGTGCTATTATTGACAGTAACAGTAAAAGTAATAGTAGTAGTAGTAGTAGCAGTAGTAGTACTAGTAGAACAATGAGTACTATCGAATTTGGTCTCCATTCAAACTCGACATGCACATGAAAATATACAATGTAACGAAATAGGTTCGATTAATATAATATTAGGTAAACAAGTCAGAGGTAAAGATCTCGAAGGTAAGAATTGCTGTGGTAAAAATGTCGGTGGGAAAAATGTTAGTGGTAAAATTCCAGAGGTTCAAAAATGTTAGATGTAAGGGAGAGCTCTGTACAATAAAAATATATGTTTCCGTATTGCTTTCACTTTTCCTTTTCCGAGATCAACTTATTTAGCTTTCTGAATGCCAACTTAAAATAATCAATTATAATCCTACATCCATGCGTGGCTACAGGGGGAGTGTGGTCAGGATATTGTTGGTAAAATTGCGCTGCTGTCGGGAAAATGAGAAAAGGGGGAGAGGAAAATGAGAAGGAAAGGGAAAGAATAAAAAAGAAAAGGAAAAGAAATGAAAGAGAAGAGAAGACAGAAAGAGAAAAAAGAAAAAGAGGAAGGAGAGGAAAGAAAGGAAAATAAAGAAAAGGAGAAAAGGAAAAAAGAGAAAAAGGAAACGGGGGGGGGGGGGGTGAAAGAGAGGAGAGAAAGAGAGAGAGGGGGGGGGGGTAAGAGACTGAGAGAAGAGAGGTGGGAGTAGGAGAGAGAGGGGGATGTTGGGTGGAGTCGCCACGTCTAGGGGGCAAGAAAGATACGCATAGATAACTATGTTGTTGTGTCGGGTCCGCTGTGTCGGTATTCTTGCTCGATATTCATGTACTATATCAATGCAGAATTTTGAAGTCGGTGACATGTATTATGTCGGTCGGCCGGAATTTTTTTTTCCCAATCGAACTGTGACTTTTTATCGGACAAAGAAACATTTTTGAAAATTCAGACGATGACTAAGAGTCGGTACAACGAATCGTCTTCTTTTCCTAATAATTTAATAAAACAACAAAGCTTCCGTGCTTCGCGCGGGAGGGGGGGGGGGGTAATCTGAATTCAGACAAGGACTAAGAGTCGAGAACGGTACAACAAATCGTCTTCTTTCTCTAATAATTAACGCCAAACTTCCGCGCTTTGCGCGAGAGGGGCGCCACTGAATTCAGACTAGGACTAAGAGTCGAGAACGGTACAACCTATCGTCTACTTTTTCTAATAATTTAATGAAACTTGACAACTTGAAAACTGAATTCAGACAAGGATTAAGAGTAGAAAACAGAGGTCTTAATACGTCCGGGGGGGGGGGGGGCATTATGGGCCCCTTAAGATCTTGGCTTACGAAGGTCCAATTAATGTGAAAATTAGCATGGTGATAGATATTGAATAAGATGGTAATGTTTATTTTCGTTTATGTTTTTTTTTTAATAATTTTTTTTATGTCAATATGCAAACAAAATTGACAATTTTCAAAAATGCGTGATTTTGAACAATGCATGGGCAGATCTGATTTGAAATCGCTGAGTAATGACATTTATATATAGTTGGAATATATTTTTTTTACCCCAATTTATGGAATCATTTTGACAATGATTTATTCCTAATAGATCTAGATAATAGTATACATTCTCAGATTTTATTGAACAATAATTTGCCAGTGTTTGTTTTGCGTGACTGCTAAAGCATGTGTATGCTACTATGCTTATAAACTAGGGGACCTACGCCCTTAAGTAATAAATGACAGTAATGAGGATTAATGGCCACAAAAGGGCACTAATATAGCACATCGACACGTTTTTTATCCTGGGGCCTCACAGTTACGAGGCCATTGCTTTGCCACTGAACCATGACTGTACGCAGCGGGGGCTAGGGTAGGGGGCAGTTCCCACAAATTAAAAAAGAAAAAAAGAAAATGCAATAAATTTTCAATAATTAATTGCATTTTACCCCGGTCCCCAACATGAACAAAATCCTCTGAATGCGTTATGGCTCAAGGCTTGGGCACACAGAAGATTTTTTTTCTTTCTCTTTTCCTCATACGAGGCACTTTATTACTTTATATCATTTTAACAACATTGCATATAGAGTTTAATGACAGTATATATATAGATTCACAATCAACAAACTGATATAATAAAATAGGGGGAACATAAGGAAAGTGGAAGGGAAAGATCAAGGCATGAATATAAATGCGTTAAAGGTTCAACTAAGAAAGATTCATCTTGATATTACTTATTAATTGTTCTTTGTTTCTGTATTGCCAATTGACATAAAACATAAAATCGCTTTTGAAAGTCATCCAAATTGAATGACTATTGAAGGATTTACTTCTAAGATGATTAAGTATATACACCTTATAAATTGCATATTGTGCGTAAACAATTAGTCCATTCATGAGCAGAAACTCCGGGTCTTCAATGTTGAAACCAATTAATATGATTTTTTCTTCTAACTCAATATCTTTTTGGAACAAGTTCGTTACCAGATGATGATTTTTTTGCCAAAAGACTGCGACTTGGCGACATCTTAGCAAAATGTGTATAAACGATTCTGATTCATTGCAATACGTACAAAGCATATCAGATGTAATTTTCCACTTGTAAAGATTATCTTTGAAGGGTAAAATTTTATGAAGCAGTTTGAAATTAAATTGTCTTACTCTGTTGTCTTTGATCTTTTTTAATTTAAAATCTAAAACATGCCTCCACTCAAAATTGATTGGTAGTTGCAGTATTTCCTGCCAAAACAATGACACCGGAGGATTTTCTTTTTTGAACTCATTCAAAAGAATATAAAAGTGTTTTGCTTTCATGAGACTTAAGTTAATCAAGTCGCAGTTCGATATCTCAAACATTCCTTCAGAAACTTCTGTTGCAATTGGGTTAAAATTGGTATTTCTTATTTGTTCTACCCATACTTTTGGAAAAGCCCTTTTTAGTTTCGAAAGTTTGAAGCTATCTAATAAAGAACTTGTACCCAAACGTTCGAAGAGAGTGTTGTATGACACCCATTGACCGTTTTCAAATACATCACTAACTTTACAGATTCCGTTTACATTCCATTTTTTTAAAAATAAAACATTTCGTTCATGTTTGATGTTACTGTTATACCACAGAATTTCATTACATGTGTCTCTTACATTCAGGAAATGAACAGAAGATTAATTTCTGTTGGGGACCGGGGGGAATTCAATGAATTATTGAAAATGTATTGCATTTTCTTTTCTTTCTTTTTTATTTGTGGGAACTGCCCCCTACCCTAGCCCCCGATGCGTACAGTCATGGTTCAGTGGCTTTGCATTTTCTTTGTTTTTTTTATTCGTGGGAACTGCCCCCTACCCTAGCCCCCGCTGCGTACAGTCATGGTTCAGTGGCAAAGCAATGGCCTCGTAACTGTGAGCCCCCATGATCAAAACCGTGTCGATGTGCCATATAAGTGCCCTTTTGTGGGGCATTAATCCTCATTACTGTCATTTATGACTTAAGGGCGTAGGTCCCCTAGTTGATAAGCATAGTAGCGTACACATGCTTTATCAGTCACGCAAAACAAACACTGGCATATTAATATTCAATAAAATCTTAGAATGTATACTATTATCTAGATCTATTATGAATAAATCATTGTCAAAATAATGCCATAAATTGGGAGCTGTTCACCCTTTAAGCCTTCTCCTTAGAAATAATCCTGTTTAATACCTGAAAAATAAACAATTAAGCCTAATGACCCAATCAAGATCAATTGCACCAAATTTTAAAGCCCCTCTAAAGTGTTGGGAGCCCCAAATTCGCCCCAAATTCGATGGCAAAATTTCACTTAAATTGTATCATAATGTGAAAGAGTATGTCATTTAAAATACACTTCTGCTAATATTTTCCCCCCAAAATGTGTTTAAAGACAAATATTCATTAAAGAATACATAAATTGGGCTTTCTGTTGTACGCAGGAAACCTAAATTTTGTATTATTTCATCAAGATTCGACCTCAAACGCATTAGTTTTGAAAATCCTTGCAGAAATGTGTCTTAAATTACATCCTCTTTCATATGATGCAATTTATTTTCGAAATTTTGAGATTCATGAGAACATTAACATTTTGAATCTGATATTTTATACTCTGACATTTTTTACCTCTGATATTGTATTCTCTGATGTTATTTCCTCTGACATATTTACCTGTGACATATGTATTTATCTCTCCCATTTTTAATTCTGTCATTTTTACCTCTTTTATTTTCACGTCTGACATGTTTACCCCTGGTGACATGATTACCTCTCCCATTCTTACCTCTGTCATTATTACCTCTGATATTTTTACCACTGACCTTTTTACAAGTGACATATTTACCTGGCACCACTTCCACGACATTATGGTCACTCTGCTATTCAGGGTACACATGTACATGTAGATGTCATTCCATCCCTTCTCACTCAATACTGTTTTTCTGATTTCTGCTAACCGTCTGACATTTCCACATCGACATGTTCTCTTTTCAGCATATTTCGTACCGTCTGGTGGAAGATTCACACAAACTGTGACGTCAGGACAAGTCAATGTATCTATTCAATTCGACCGGGTCCATTCATCTGATGTATTAGACAACCTGTGGCGCTTTAATGGCACGTCAAGTAGCACAGATTACTTCGTTAGGGGTCCAGACATTGCATATACGTTCACTGATCCCACACAAGCATCGCAAGAGGGTATTTACGAAATTCAAGTATATTCACTCAGATACCAGGCCAGAGGTGGACTAATGAGACTCATCGTTATAGGTAGGTTTTGACCGTAGGCCTACGTGTATGAGCGATAACACGAGGTGTTTTATTTTTAATTTCTTTGTACACATTTAGGATAGATAAATAATTCATACTCGCACGTTACATTTAACCATCAAATTGTGAAAGAGAGACAGAGAGAGACAGAGAGAGAGTGAGGGGGGAGGGGGACCTGAAGATACTTCTCTTAATATTTCCACTTGCGTTCAACTCTTTCTCCAAGGGAAATGTTATTCGTCTCATAATTCTGCAAAGTCATGACTATTAAGCTTTTAAAACAAATAGAAAAGTGTTTTTAAAATTATCATGATGCTCTCAAAGTCAATTGACCAATATCAACCAATCTAAGACAAATTTATGTTCAGTGCTCTCAGTTCTCAAACATTCATAACAGTACTGTCTTATAAATGGTAAATTGTTTGAACCCCCACCAACATATTCCTCTATCGATTCTTCTTCCATGCAACAAACCTGCTACGAAACGCTGGATTTCCCTTGAATTCCATTTACTTTGGATGTTTACACGTATCAATCACTTGATTCCTACGTAAAAACAATGAATATGTCATAAATCCAAATCACCAATTGCATTCATTCACGTTTCCATGTGCAGAATGTCCGTATGGTCGATACAATTCATCCACAGGCTGTGTTCTGACATGTTCTTCTTGTTACAATGGAGGGATTTGTGATGATGAAACAGGACAATGTATCTGTGCTCCAGGATTCAATGGAGAAACATGCGAACAAGGTAACTTCCCTAGTTATTGAGAAAGTATGTTTTTAATAATCATACACATTTTTAAAGGATGGAATTATTTTCAGGAAGAAACGAAGTTCTGATTATTAATATAGTTTAAGTACGATATCATTTGGTTGGGGATTATCAATATTCATGTCAGTTATCCTAGCTTTGATAATTATAATGAATTACCTAACGAAAAAATAGAAAGAATGGGAAATAAACCACGTAGGTCTTAATTGAATGTGTAATTATCAGTAATTTGTATACAAATTAATGAGTCACCATTTGTTCTGTAAAATATAAACTGATATCGTCCGAGAAAATGATGGCCAGTGAAAACAAAAGATGAAATCTGAAAAGTTCAGGGGTACACACAGTATCAGAATGATGTGGATCACATATTGACATAGAGCAAGATGCAAAAAAGCGATGCCTTTTATTGGTTATACTCACTGAAACATGATTTGAACAACGTTTTCCTGGTTCCCCATGTTAATATAGGTTGTGGCGGCAACCGTTTCGGGAGATCATGTGAATATAGATGTAATACATCAATAGATGACTCTACAGCTTGCAGAGGAATTCAAATGTGCTTACCAGATCCATATGGGTGTTCTTGTGCACCAGGATTCAAAGGCCTGAATTGCACCACAGGTAAATGTTCGTACATTACTTAACTTTGTGCAACTGCAGTTATTTCAATAGTAATACCAATGATAGGTGCAAAACTGCTTTCTACACATTCAGTTTGAAAATTTCATTCCTGTGATGAATACTTTCGAACGCTCACTGCGTTCTTCGTCAGACTAAGACCGTCGTGGATGGCGTCTGGACAGTTTCGAGATAATGGTATTGAATACAATAAAGGAAACAAGTACGAAATAGAATACGAAGTAGCAAAAATCACTCGCAATGTGACCAAATTTTGAGATATCAGTAATTGCCTACTGCATCTTGAAATCAATTATGTTGATATTTCAATATAAGAGTTTTTAAAGACATAGTTGGAGAGTGTAAATATAGGATCAATGTCTTGCCAAAGGATCCTCATCTCTTAGATTGAGATTCGAATGAATAAACCGTGACACCTTCACAATTTTGTTTGAACAATCAGGTAGTCCTTAAATTTGTTGATAGCAACTAATATTCCAGTCTTTACCCCAAGCGTCACCGCGGCGCCCCGCAATGCGATGACCCTGTTATTTGTTATTGAAAGGGAAATTCGTGTGTCTGGAATTTTATGAATTATGTAACACTGTGGTAATCATAACGCACTCTATAGGGAAGTTTCAACTTGTAATTGTTATCGTTTTCGTCTTAAAATGACTTTATATTACTTGACTTCTTGTGTTGCTTTGTTTGAGGTGTTTTGGGTGGGAGATTTATTAAGCAAATAAAACTTTAAAGATAACAAACAGAGAAAAAGAATACAATCATTATGCCAATATACTCATTACTATTAGTATTACCTAATAAAGGAATGAGATATTTTGATGCAGAAAAGACGATTCTTACAACAATTAATAGTTAAGCTAAATGACTATTGAAATTTATAATGATGAAAATGAAAATAAAAACGTTGTTTTTATCTCGCTTTTAATTTGTATTACCATCTTTCCTCACCTATATCTCTCTCTTCCTTCTTCTTCTTCTTCTTCTTCTTCTTCTTCTTCTTCGTCTTCATCTTCTTCTTCTTCTTCTTCTCCTTCTCCTTCGTCTGTCTAATAGAATGTGATCAAGGTGAGTTTGGAGCTAGTTGTACGGAGACATGTCACTGTGTATCAGGAGAGTGTGATATATTTACTGGAGTCTGTACAGGAAGCTCTACGGAGTGCCGGCATGGCTGGGCTGGGAGTAGTTGTCAAGGTAAGTAAATCACTAGATTTTTGTTTGTTCCTATTACGGGGCGACAGCCCTTCCCTTCCAAAGATTTTAAAGTCCCAATATTCGGGGCATTTGCGAGAGGGGCAATATCATATTCGAGCAGGAAAGTGCACCAATATTTAGTTTATTATAACATAGCTGTCCCTGTAGTTGAGCTGGAGCCCTTCCAACAAACTCCCTGGGAATATAGTAATAATGAATACCCCCACCCCCTTGAAATTCTTAACCCGAAGCTGGCGACAAGCGAGAAAGAAGGAGAGAGAGATATGTTTTAAACTTTCTTTCTGACATATTTCTTTCCAAATGTTACATCAGTTAACAACTGATGAGTTTGCAACACGGCACTTTTCACATTACTTTTGTAATTCTTCGCATGTTAAAACACATTTTAAAAACTATTATTTTATGTCTTGTTACAATGCTTTCATACCCCCTTTCCATTTCCTTCTTTATATTTGCATGGTCTGTTTGCTTTTCTGTCTTCCCCCATCCATCTCTCTCCTTTAGTAGAAACATTATACTCAAAGAATGAAATATTCTTCTCGTAATCTTTATCATTACCTGGATTATTCTTTTACAGAATGTCTGGCTGGCATGTTTGGTAGGAACTGTTTAGGTAGGTGATGGTTAATGTACTTCTTTTCAAATAAATTTGATCTATGGAAATGGTGCGTTTTGTGGCGTAAAGTTGTAGGAATATTATGGTGTTCGTACATCTTTTTTATACTTTCATGAACGTAAATTTGTGTATAATATATGCATGACAAAAACAAAATTACATTAGCAAATAAATTACAATTGTAAGATGCATTAAATTTGTGAACAAATTAGGCGCTATTTTACTGTGTGTGCTACATGAAGTCCAAGCAATGTACTTTTAAATGATACATTGGTGGCATTAATCCATACACGCTTCACGGAGCAAAATCGTTTAAAAATGGCATGTCAAAATCAATTTAGGGCATATCTGGGTAGAACTACCGTGTAATGATAGTATCACATGCGAACACGACATATACAGGAATTCCATCGGGTTTCAGGTTAATGTTATTTTCAGGTCATTTTCGTAGTTTTTACGTGATCGCAACATTTGAACGGTTTTACCACAATTTGGGAAAACTTTGTTTTTACATGCCATTTTCAAAATATTGGGACTCGGTATGGTATGTACTTAAGGATGTCATCAAGGTATCGTTTTGAGATCAAAACATCTTCTTGTCTTTGTAAAATACATAATATAGTTATATATCACACAGCTTGATAACAATAGCCTTTCTTTGGACACATTGTACTACCTTTTTTGCAACCAAATCATTCACAAAAATGCTCAGCCCTACCCATGTGTATACCCACTGTTAAACACATGTCTTTAAGTTTCAGTTTACTATAGCGTCGATAAACTTTCTATGTTTTTGTATGCACAAATACAACTTCGTATTGTTTACAAGGCATATTTTCACGCAGAAATAAAAATATAGATCTAGACAACACAAAATTTATATTCAAAAAATGTTTCTTACTTTGAAGGTACAATTCAAGTCGAAAATAAACCGAAGAACGAAGGCCAACCGAATATCCGGTTCTCCTGCCGAAGAGATAGTGGAGAGTTTTTGTCGTCAGTGTCACCGGTTGTAGGCCTTTACCGGGTAACGGATAGCTCCGAACGGTTCTCAGATGGAGGAATTACTAGCATCGGAAATATTCAGCATGAATTCGCAACTACTGATTTCTTTGAAGTCGATTACGTAACGGCAGAAGATCTGTTTGTCTGCATCATCTACGATGTTAATAGTTACAGAAGTGCTGAGGTTACCGCTGACCTGAACAGTAGGTGTCTCAGAAATATATCATTCACTATTTGTTTAATTATTGGCTCCATTGGAATAACATTTAAAAGAAAAAACTCTTAAACCCTTTCTTTACCTTTGATAAACTGAAAGGGTACTATTGAAGCCAGCATGATTAAAGCATTTGCTCAGAGTCGTATCTATGAAAGTATCGATGTGCTAGATTATTATGAAAATAAAGTTCCCCTATATTTGAGAAAATGGGAAATTTGAGAAGTTTTAGCGAGAGCGAAGTAGAGGTAGAACGAAGGCAACAGCGTAAGTCATTTTTCTACAATAAAGAAACCTGTCTCAAAATGCCTTTTTTTATCCACATAAGTAGAAGTGAGGGTGGAGGAGGGGAAAGGGGGGTTGGGTCCAAGGAGTTACAGAAGAGGGAAGGGAGAGAGAGGGCTTAGGGACGGATTGTACGTTTAAATAAAGGAAAAGCTCATAATTTGAATTATATCATGTTGAGAAATAAAAAATCAAAGTTTTAAGAACAATTAGTTTTATTCTGGAAAAAAATAAGCACTGCTTGATCTAGTTTGGGAGATGAAATAACTAGTGAAATAACACAGTGCCGTAATATTTTCCTATTATGTAATTGTGCTTAATGTTTTTCATATACATTGTGAAATTATGAACAATGAATTATGTTGTATTCAGATTCGTTTATCAAATGATAACAAGTTTGTTGTAATTTTGTTTCAGCTTGTATAAACTAGGACTATGGAAAATGCTTTGCTTCTATGTTATGTACGAACAAAAATTGGAGTTTTTTTTATAAATAAATTCCACGAAAGAAGAAGGAAAATATGGAAAACAAATCATTGGTTGAAGGTTTTCATTGTCACCGTAATTGACAAATAGCTAGACTTGTCTATATCTTCTTCTTCTTTCACTCTCAACCAAGTATTACCACGACTGACAAGGCCGCCTTTGATCCAAGAGACTACTCAAACTTCAATCACACTGTCCTGGGACGGATGGATGGCCGGGGTAGACATTGGCGATCCTCCACTCATTGGATACAATGTATACTACAAGGAGGCACTTCCAGATTCTTCACCATGGATCCGTCTTGATCGAGGAAACGCTTTGGATCTTTCTCAAATGATTGATGGTTTGTCTCCTGACAGGGACTACTTGTTTGGTGTCTCAGCAGTGAAGGATGGCGATGGAGGAGAAGGACCTCTGAAGAATGTGACTGCAAGTACTTCTTGTTTGTGTGAGTAAAAGCACATACATATAGCTTGCGATATTAGACAATGCCCCCTTCCCCATGCACCACGAAAACAGGATAACTATGAAGAGTTGAATCAACAATGAGAAGTTTGGCCGCCGCCCCTACCCCCCCCCAACTTCCCCCTGCTCCACACCCTCAATTGCGAACAATTTTTCTCTTTCGCCATGTAAGAATTCCCTCCCACGGGTCGACAACTCGACGTCATCCCTAACCGCTTCTGACTATTCTGAGTCATTACTCCATAACCCGAAACCACCCCACACCTTATCAGATTGTCCTGGTACAATAGGGTTATTTGTCGTTCAGATACACTTCCAATATATTCACATTTATTTATATAATTTACTCTTTATGTTAATCGGGAACCTCCACAAAAATGTCTAAAGCAAATTGTCAACAATAATCTTTTCAATGCCCGAAACCGTCTAGACCATTTAAATGTCTATCTTCAGATAAGGGCATGGGGCAAACACCTTGATCAGAAAAACACACTATGATTATTATCCCCTCTCTGAAGATTGGCACCCCTCTAAAACCAAGTAAATGTATGCATATATTGTATAGTGTTGCAAACGTTTCATAGAAGTAGGTACAGTTCAAAATTATTAATCTCAGTCCTCCCTTGATTAGCTTGTCCAATCATTTAAAATGAAGTCAGGAAATAAATCGACCACAAATTTAAAAAAGTTCCCTTTTCCAGTTTGGACTTTTAGTTCAGGCAAGATTCTTCATTGTACAGTCTATTAAATGAATTATAAAGAGTCTCTAATATTATTTACTCTTAATACTGTAGTTCAATCAAACAATTTTTTACCAGCGTTCATGTTCAGTTAAGCATAATATGATAGCCATTGTTTATGTTTGTTCGTTATTTTCATTTCGTTGATCTTGTTTCAATGTACGTGTAGCCCCTACCGGAGTTCTTTCACATGTGACAGTCCATCAAGTGTCATCTCCTGAACAGCTTCTTATTACATGGCAGGTAAGATCAAGGGGTCGATCCTAGTGTTTCTCCAGTGCAGTCACCACCCCATCCCCCCACCACCACCAAAACCTTATCCTCCCACTCAAGTTTCTCGAAAAGGAGACGAGACAAAACTTTAATTTGTTTGGTATTGGAAGATCCACATCTTAAAACTATTATTGACAATGTTTGAATGGATGTAAGGTGAACAATTCATTCTCTCTCCAATTTCCCTTTATAACAGAAACCCTTTTCCTACAATGTTAAGTCGTTTATACACCTGTTGAACGTCAACTCGGTCAGAATACTCCCGTAATATTACCCCCTAAGAAAATTGCCATAAGGATAATGAACCGTGGAAAACTACTCCTGGAAAATTCTCGGATACCTAACCCTATTTTTATCATTCCGAGGGTAAGGGGCATTATTTGAAAGGAATAATCTGGGCGAATTTTTCGGGGGTTATTTAACCCTGGGAGTATTTGTCCTAGGGGTATTTTCCAGGAATAGTTAACCAGATACATACGTTTTGTCATTTAATATAACAAAAAAACACCTTTGTCCCTCTCTTTCGAAGTCTCCAACTGCAGACGATGCAAGTGCAAACTGTCGCGGTGGTTTCACGAACATTTAAATCTACTTTTCATCAACATCCGATGTCTCTTCTAAAGGCTCAGTACAGTTTACCGTTGATTCTGCTGGTAGTTATTACCTTGGCTCAGTGGTACCTGACACTCAGTACTCGGTTTATATGACATTGTGGAACAAAGATAGCGAAGGTCCTCGAAGCCAAGCGTCGTTTGGGATGACTTTTCAAACAAAAACAAGTAGGTTAAGTTCATACTTACTTTACAAATGGTCATACGAAATGTAAATGTTATTATTGAATGCCGGGATAGGAGCAGACTTGCTTGTGTAATATGGAGTTTAATACTGAATCACTCTATCAAAGATGGTATTTAATTTAACCTATTTTACTGGGTATTCTTCTTTGTTTTCGATTATAAAGGATCAGCATACAGCATCTACGCATGGTGTAAACAAAAGTCTCGTTTTTAATGAATTATTTATATTTCTAACGCCTTGGTTTTGCCGCCCCATATCTCAATGAGGCTTTAATGATATTTGTTCTACTTCCTATCAGCTGTCGTACCCTGGGCTTTGTTTGGCATTACTCTCCTTATCTGTGCTGTCGTCATCATCGTTTTCGTTTTCGTATGGTAAGCTTACATTAGCAGGAAACTGACAAGAGTTCCTTGTCAATGTATTCAACACATGTGATAATATCGAAGAAAACTTAAAAAATTCTTTTCAACTAATAGTTTTCCCTATCGCCACTCCTAACCCGCCCGCGCCCCCACTATTCTTACCCACCTCTTTTTTGTTCTCTCTCTCTCTCTCTCTCTTTTCCTCTCTCTCTCTCTCTCTCTCTATCTTTACATCTCTCATTCCTTCTTTACCTCTCTTTCTGTCTCCCTCTCCCTCTCTCTATCTCTCCTTCACACGCGTTCTATATCATCACCCGTCCGATTTTCGCTTTCTTTTTTTCCCCCTGACTTGGCATATCTCAATGTTCTAGCAATCCAATGAATTGAAAAAGTGCATTAAAGAGATTCCTTGAACATCAATTCATATTCCTACATTTATCAATTAATTCTGCAAAGATTTGCGTTTGTTCATAAGCTGTAAAATAGCTAATAAATCAAATATATTTTGACATTAATGATAATCAGTGATAATCGGAGTAAAAACAACTACGATAATATTAATTATAATAGTAATAGTCATAGTAATGATGATGATTTAAAATAATAGCAATCATAATTATAAGCATGATAAAAACAATAATTATCAATAATGATAATGAAAACGATGATAATAACAAATTCGGTCTTATATACCAAGGGTAGCTACATTAGTATTTATACTTCTCTTCGTCAAAAGATATTGATTGGTATTTAATAGTAGAGTAATAACCTAACCACTGAAGACATCGTTAACGGGATGATTTGTAAATAAAGCTATTCCTTTTATCACCTTGTTCCAGGAAAAGACGCAAGGCGGACCCTAAACCTCCCAAGCCAAGAATCAATCCAGAGACGGACGAAGATCAGCCAACATATGAGAACCCAACCTTTGAGTCGCCTCCTATAAACACCTATGAAAGTTTGAAACGTGTGGAAAACAACACTGCGGATGACGCTTACGTCAATGTGATCTCAAAATCTGAATAAATCAATATGATTTGACTTAAACGTCTGTCTACAGAGGTGTATCTAGAATAAATCAATTAATTCAAAATCGAAGATCAACGCAAAAGGCGTGAACTGTCGGTTAAGCTTACGATCAATTGGGCAAAAAGAATTTCCATTTTCGGTTTAACTTAATAAAATTTGGCGTGGACTTTAAAAGATTATTATTATTATTATTATTATTATTATTATTATTATTATTATTATTATTATTATTATTATTATTATCTTGGAAGTGGATTACATAATGTGTGAACGGCAATAACCCCTATGACATAAGGACAAAAAGACAGCCGAAAAATATGTCACAATTTAATTGTAAAATGCATGCCTTAAACAAAGATATGGGTATGAAAAATCTGATGAAGATGTGCCAGTTATGCTATTCCGAAATGTTTAACATAATGGGATTTGCATCGATATTGTAGACTAGATTTCTACTATGTCCTTTTCTCAGAAGAAACTATATTTCATGCAATATTTTATTTTCATTATTAAACAGATGGTTTACAATTATATAGGTCTGAATGCGTATGATTTTTGTATAATTATCAACACAATTATTTACAAATTGGAAGTTTCTATAAGTATATGAGTCCTGCCGAGGCTCAAATGTTGTGACCCCATAATATATATGATTACTTCGTATCAATGCATACTTTTGCCTCACCAAACATAATGACACGATATTGGGTCATACTTTTGAAAGTCATCTGTTTTAAATTCGTAACACTACAAACACAAGCGATCAGGATGATTTCGTCATCCCCAATAATTGCTTAGTATGCCAGTGGCTCAGAAAGTTTGAAATGAGGGTAAATAAAGAAATCATTCCAGAGTCTGGCAAGTTATAGACAAAATCAGTTCAGAGACTGACATGATATTAAAATATCTTGTAAGTCTCTGAAATCCTTTGAATATTCTCATTTTATGTACAAACTCATATATCAGGTAATTTACCAAGATTCTTTGTTACTAAGTTTACTTTTAATTCATCAGTGCAGTCAATGTTGTAAATTTTTATTTAATGTAAAACTGTATCTTATCAAAATTCTGTTTAAAACGTTTAGATTTGAAATGAATGTCGTACTGTATTACTATGCTGTAACAACTGGGACCCTGTCCACAAGCATTTTGCTTTTAAAGCTTATATGCCGTAGTTTACAGGAGGGATTAGACCGCCCTGCAAGGTCACTGGACAGGTGGTTATTTCATCAACTCAGCTCTCAGTTAACATAAGGAAAAGAGGATCATGGGGGACCAATGGTCACCGATTAGGCATTGTTTGTTATATAGAGGGCGCAAGTAGCTACAAGTAGTGCAGTTGGCCTTTAAGGGTATACCAACGTTTCATATTATGATTTTATTTCTGTTGTTATTTTGCCTTTGTACTTGCATTGCTTAGTTATAAATGAAATTGAATTGTTTTGAACTTACTTCAATAAAATCATTTTCTTTAGGTGATTCTTTTGTTTTCGTTGAGATCAAGAACCAATGTTCTTGTATGAATGAATTAACCTATTGACTACTGAATTATTTTATATCCTTAGGCTTTTATACAGAACCCATCCGGTTCCAGTAGGCAATGGGGTACTAGGAGGGGAGACGAGGATGTGGAGGGTTAGGGGTAAAGAAATAGAAGAGGGGTGTAGGCCGGGAGAGGAGGAGTGAGATGAGAAAGAGAAGGGGAACGAGAAGCGAGGAGGGTGAAGGAATTGAATTAGGACAAAAATGCATTTAACAAAACGAACAAGTGGAAGTAAAAGAAATGACTTATCTCACACTTCAACCTCACATTGTGTACGTTATGATAACATTTGGTCCTTGGTGCTACAAACAAAATCATTTTCATCAACAGTGCGTCCCAGAAAAAAACGAAACCGAGAATTATTGATGTTTTATCATAACTTAATCACAATTATAATTCATAAATGATACATATTTGTAAGGCTTAGATCCTCCTCTTTCATTTGATGCAAGTCTTATGATGCATTATTTACGCATGAGTGGTTAAAAACGAAGAGAGGGTACCAACATTCATTTTGGTGGGCGGTATCTGAATTTCAAAGAGAAAATCCGCGTAATGTTTAGGACTTGAAAGTAAAAAATACTATTTCAACATATTTTATTAGCTTGAGTTGCTAAAATGTATCACATTTTGACAAATCTTACAGGAAAGAAGTTTAGAAAAATCGGCAGAACAGGCCCCAAAGGGAAGCTTTAAGGTAGTTCAGCATACAGTTTTGCTAAGACGTTTCCAATAAATCCTGCCCAGAGAGTGCATGTGGAAAACTGCAATATCATTGATGTCAAAAAACAGATAACTTCACATAACAAATGATCAAGCAAAATGATCAAATGAGTCTTTTTCATACACATACACATTTAAATGCACTATGCTTCATCATAGTCGTACACCATCAATGTCAGGAATGTTGAACTACTCACAGTGGAGATAAATATAGTTTTATGAAATACGCCTGAGCTCACTGAACAATCGCGAATTTGAATGAGGTGTATCAAGAATCAAATAATGAATGTATAACCGTTTCCGCATGCAAGATCACAAATTCACATGTCCTAATCAGCTACTAATAATAAGTAAGGGTAATTCCCATTCACACATTAACAGCCATTTCAAGGATCTATCTGGTTTGGACCTTCCTGCAGGCCTCCATGATAGACTCATGTTCAACTACTGGCCTCTCCAAGTACTACATCTACAAAATTGCAGCTGAAGTATGCGGACCAAAAATCTCTCATGTTTGTCTTCTGCAATAACATCTTTTAGGACGGGTTTTTTTTTTTTTTTTTAATGACTGAGAATCGCGTTACGTTCTCAGCAACATTACTAATTTCCATATACCATTTTTGGGGCCACATCCTGTCTCTGTTTACTTTGGAAAGGACTGCATGTTTGACTTTTGTGGCAACTTTATTAATGATGTTAATACCATTACTTTCCCAAAATACTTGGTGGCATTGTAGAGTTGTTTTAAACAGCCTGTATGTATGAATGATTTTGACAGAAAGTTTGAACCACACGAATGATCCCCCGCAAACGTCCTAAAAGGTACAGAGGTCGAGATTAGAAATCAGTGGATCCTGGGTGGAAGTTCATTTTCGCAACGAATTTTTCATGAAGCTTATCACAAATGTAAGCCTGTTTCGATTCCCTTCCCAAAGCCCAAGACAAATACAAGGCCTCCCTAAAGGAAATTATGAGGTTGTGCCATATTCATTTTCTGATATAGTTGTGGAAACTTGTGGAAGGTATTGGAAATGCTTTAATCAATATATCATGTAAATTGTTATGTAATGATCATTTCCTCCTCCCCTCCTCATAATCATGATGATGACTATGATAATGGTAATAATAATAACAATAATTATTAAACTATGCGAATGATAATAGTAGTGACAGCAGTAATGATAATATAGTAATGATAGGAATGATAATGATCATTATTGTAATAATCGTAATACAAATAGTCATGATTAAATTACTCGACATGAAACACCAAACCACCGAGGACAACTGTAATAGAGATACTACTACAACATTTTACTAAATTTCATTGAGGATGGTTAAGTAGTTTTTATGGGTATTGCCAATCAGAATCCCGTTGCTTTTTTAGACACCCTGTATTCAATTATTAACTGTTTATGTTTATTCGGCAGTGGTTAAAATTCCAAAAATTCCTCAATTGAAACAAGTTTCCTACATAACAATACGTGATTCGGCTTTCAGTCATTTGGTTTTCATGGATGCTTTGATCACTGGTCACGTTGGTAATTCGTCATCGAATTGAATATGGATTTTATGAGGATAATGTTTGGTGTTGTAATGCTGTATGTTTATGGAGGTAAGTGAATACAGTTGTAAAACACGGGAATTTCCTGAGGTTATAGACAAACCAAGAAGTTTTAAGAGATGGAGTATATCTGGCGCATTCCCTTTGTACCATCTTCGATGCCGTGGTTGGGGGGGGGGGGTGATAGGTGCCAAAATATTTTCAGCAATGGATCAAAGCAACCAAGAGGTAGAAGCGTGTGGCAGGTTGCACCCCTCCCTTCCAAGTTATTAACTTTTTCAAGTCGCTCCCAATACAGATAACATTTCAGAGAATATGGGACCTATGTGGGTCCCACATGGGCTTGCTACCTGGGTTATTATCCTCTCAAGCGTGTAGCAAGGATTTAATTTTAGGGGGGTGGTAGTGAACAGTGAGTAGTGAGTGGGGGTGGCCCGACTCTTAATCCTTGTTTGAATCAAGTTCCCCTTCCTAGCGCGGAAGCTTTGACGTTTCATTAAATTATTAGAGAAACAAGACGATTCCTTGTACCATTCTCGACTCTTTGTCTGAATTCAGTTTCTCCCCTCCCCCTCCCGCGCGAAGCGCGGAAGCTTTGACGCTTCATTAAATTACTAAAGAAAGAAGACGATTCGTTGTACCGTTCTCGACTCTTAACCTTGTCTGAATTCAGTTTCCCACCTCCCCCTCCCGCGCGAAGCGCGGAAGCTTTGACGTTGCATTAAATTATTAGAGAAATAAGACGATTCGTTGTACCATTCTCGACTCTTAAACCTTGTCTAAATTCAGTTTCCCCCCCTCCCCCCTCCTGCGCGAAGCGCGGAAGCTTTGACGTTTCATTAAATTATTAAAGAAAGAAGACGATTCGTTGTACCGTTCTCGACTCTTAACCTTGTCTTAATTCAGTTTCCCACCTCCCCCTCCCGCGCGAAGCGCGGAAGCTTTGACGTTTCATTAAATTATAAGAGAAAGAAGACGATTCGTGGTACCGTTCTCGATTCTTAATCCTTTTGCTTCCTACGTCCTCTTCCTTTCTTCTTTCTCTCTTTCTCTGTTTTTGTTTTGGCCGCCCTCCAGCCCCCTGGCTACGCGCCTGTATCCTCTCTGTCTCTCATTATCTCTCTCTCCCACTCTCTACTTCTTTTTTGCACTTTTGCGCTTCGCGCTTAACATTTAGCTCGTTGCTTTTTAACGCTGCGGCTTTGCATTTGGCGCACTGCATTTCTATGATGCTGTCTCATTTACTTCGTTTTCTATTCATGTATGTATTATGAAAATGAGATAGCAAAATGTGTATATTAATTGATGGTCATCTTGCGAGTAATAACCATTAACTACTCTCATCGGGCTCTCATCATTAATTTTCTCTTCATTTTTTTTTTTTTTTTTTGGTGATGGTGAATTATTGGGGGGGGGGGGATGATTGTACAGGCCATCCCTCCCACCTGAAATATTGGGGGATTTATCCCCCCCCCCATCCCCCCGGGATCGACACCCATGCCGCCAGGATAAAATATGTCAGGCATGTGCTTAACTCGATCTTCCTTGCAGATACGTAGACAAAAGATTCCTGCCTAGCTGCGAACTAACGGGCCACTTTCAAAGGGAAATATTCTTTTCTAATGATAATTACTTTTCGCTACCCCTCGTCTGATAATACGTGCAGTACACAGTGCTTACCTTTACAGGAGGCAAATTTGTCTGAAATATTAATCAAAACTACTCGACTGGGAATGTGTGGACACTAACCTGACACATAACTTCATAAAGAACTGCACATGAACATATTCACTTTTTATTTTCGTGAGCCGCGAGTAATCGGAAAAGTGTCAAATTGCAGGTCTAAGAACTATGAATTTTTACTATTTTTCACAAATTCAAGCTGCTATCATATAATGTAAGCAAATTTCTTGACACAATTAGGCTTTTGTATTCATATGTTATCATCTGTTCCATTTTCCCCTTGTTAGTTCAAACAAAAAGTGAAAAACTAAGGATATTCATTTGTGACAAAAATCACGACTCAAGCTTTCCAATGATATTGTCGGCTTCGAACCTCGGACATCCTAGGTTACAGCATACCAGTATATTATATTGTGCAACCATAGAAAACGGCAGCTGCTTGGAATAATTTGTTGCCAGTTGGGTCTCCATCTCTAAAAACTCCTTGGATAAACATATATGAAGCATTATGTTTTTATACGGCGAATGACGGTTATCATTTCGGCAGTTTATTTAAAACGCTGATAATAATTGGGTTTCAAATTGGCTTCGTATAAAAATTGATTGAAATTATGGGGGTGTAAACAGCGTTTGGAAGATGTTTCGCGTATATTTATATAAGCTGTTACATTAAAACCATTTTATTTTAATGTACACTGTTGCTCATAACGGTGGAATATTTTTTTTTATCCCAATTTATGGAATTATTTTAAAAATAATTTAAAAATACTAGATCTAGATAATAGTATACAGTCTCAGATTTTATTGAATAATAATTTGCCAATATGTGTTTTGCGTGACTGCTAAAGCATGTATATTATGCTACTATGTTTATCAACTAGGGGACCTATGCCCTTAAGTCATAAAGGACAGTAATGAGGATTAATGCCTCACAAAAGGGCTCTGATATAGCACATCGACACGGTGTTGATCTTGGGGCCTCACAGTTACGAGGCCTTTGCTTTGTCACTGAACCATGACTGTACGCAGCGGGGGCTATGGTAGGGGGCAGTTTCCATAAATTAAAAAAAAAACAGAAAATGCAATAAATTTTCAATAATTTATTGCATTCTACCCCGGTCCCCAACATAAAAAAATCCTCTGGACGGCCATGCATTATGGCTCAAGGCATGGGCACACGGAAGATTTTTTATTTTGGGGACCGGGGTAGAATGCAATAAATTATTGAAAATTTATTGCATTTTCTGTTTTTTTTTAAATTTATGGAAACTGCCCCCTACCATAGCTCCCGCTGCGTACAGTCATGGTTCAGTGACAAAGCAATGGCCTCGTAACTGTGAGGCCCCAGGATCAACACCGTGTCGATGTGCTATATTAGTGCCCTTTTGTGAGGCATTAATCCTCATTATTGTCATTTATGACTTAAGGGCATAGGTCCCCTAGTTAATAAACATAGTAGCATAATATACATGCTTTAGCAGTCACGCAAAACACATATTAGCAAATTATTATTCAATAAAATCTGAGACTGTATACTATTATCTAGATCTAGTATTTTTAAATTATTTTTAAAATAATTCCATAAATTGGGATAAAAAAAAATATTCCACCGTTATGAGCAACAGTGTACATGAACGTCATAGCGGAAAATTAAGGATTTTATATTTGGGCTCTCAGATCAAGATGCTACTTATACTGTCTGATATTTTTAATTCCTTCCTTGATTATGTCGATTAACTTTCACAGTTGTTCATCTGTTTAATTTTCAGCATCGGCATCTGTTTATATATCTACCACGAGTAGAGGATATACAAGCACAGAGACTGGTAACCCTTTCTTTGAGTGCTACAGAAGTCATCCTTATTTGACTGCTGCTGTGTCTAACGGGAGGTATGTCTATTTATACAATGAAGTGGACCCATTAGCTACACCAGTTAATCCAGCTAATGCTGATCCACCACCCAGTGTTGCTTTTAATGCTGGTAATCCACCAGTTCAAGCCTACAGAATAAATCTTGTGACAGCCGAACACAGGTCGTATGGTGCCTTCTACTGTGCTGCATCCCTGGATGGAATACGCTCTGTTGTACCGACACTCTTCTTGAGATCTGACGGTAATTAAAAATAATCATTCATCGTATTCAGACTGTATTTGATAATAGAAGCCTCACGATTGTAGCTACCAAGTTTTGATTTTTTTTTAATTCACATTGATTTCTTACAAAGCCCTGCATGCTTATTGTATAGCATATTAAAGCATGATTACTCTTATTGACTTTGGAACAGTATACAAAATATTAATTAATTAATGAGGTATGTCTGATTTGTAATTGTTGATGCAAAATTCTAGATTACAATTCCTGTGTACAAGTTGACTTTCAAAGTAACCACGTTTCCCTTTTAGAGATAAAGCAGACATCTTTACCATCATTATCATTGGAATCAATTTGTTCATGTCCCCCCGGTGGACAATGTTTGTTCACTCATAAAAGTTGAGAAAAGGAACCGTGTCTACTCCGGTGGTTTTTAAATTTCCAATTTCTGTAAAGGGTTAAATACAAATCATATTTCTAGTATTGTCTTCAAATGAAGCTGAAGCTAATTTACGACTGGCTTGATATTGTGGGAACCATCGAACACAATTTTCTGTATCCTGACACCCTCAGTCACAACATCAAACCAGCTCCACACCGATTCCAAACCGACCGATTATTGACCATTTTTAGGGTAATGTAATGTAATGTATCGATCTGTCTGTTGTTGATCTGGTGTCGATCTTGTCGGTGTGACTGTAGTGTTATGGTGTATTATATCGTATTCTTTTCCATTCTTCTTATTATTATATTATCATATCACATTTATGGTCACGATAGTTCATTCATTTCGTTTTCAGCTAAGTTTGAGCCCACAAATGGCAGATTTTCAAAGACTGTCAACAAGGGGGATGTGAACGTTACGGTTGATTTTACTGAGGTTACTCCTAGTGGGACGGCAAAGTACTGGAGGTTTAATGGTACAACTGATATGACTCTAACTGTTTTTGCTGGCACGATCTTTGAGGGATTGACTGTCTACACAATCATAGGAGAGGTAGACACCTCACATGGTGGTGTTTATGAGCTTCATTTGGCCGGTGAGAGGGGACAGGCAAGAGCTGGACTTCTTAGACTGATCGTAAGAGGTAATCGGCGAATTTAGTCATTGTACTATAATATATCATATGGGTACGGGAAGGCAATGTGAGGGTATAATCCGTTATTACCATTTTACCATCCTGAGAATACAACATAATCCTCTCAAAATAGTTTCCAACTGATTTACTTATGTACAATTTATCCAAAAGTGATTTGTATGTATATTTTATGTTCCAACGTAATCTATTTTGCAATATGCCTTTCATTAATAGTTTCTGCGGTGATGTACATTGAAGTAACCCGGACGTAATCTGTATTCCCCTTTGATTTCAAATTTAAAAAAGGTGATTTTGGAGGGGAAAAAAGGTTAAGAAGTATAGTTGATTTCAATATCCCAGAAAATGTGATGAAAGTGTCGATCAAACTTGAAAATTGTGCTTTGGATAACACCACTCACAAGCTTCTCTTTCTTTCTTAGTTTATTCTCCTTTATCATTTATGACAATTTTATTTGGCATTCTCGATTTTTCTTCTTCTTCTGTTTTATTATTTTTAAAGCTGGAACAGTGGCGTAGCTAAACATATGTTTAAATGAGGGGTGGGGGCTTCAACATATACGCCGTACAGCGTTGTCTACGAAGTCACGTTTCGACCACTGACACATAAAATTTCCCCCGAAATATCCATAACCTTTTAGTATTCAGGATCAGTTTTGGTGTTGCTTATCTTGCAATAATGTCGTAATACGGCTGAAAAACAGAATTGAATTGAATTGAGTTGAATTGAATTTAACTCGATTCAATATGCATAAATATTAAATTAAAAAACAGCTTTGTTTCTGTCATTGAAAAAGAATTTGAAGTGTGGTCCATAATTAGCTGTTATTTATCATAATTCGAGTACATGAGAAATTTTGAGAGCCATCCCATTCATGAAACTTTGTGTTATGTTCTTCCATACTAACATAAAATGAACGAAAAAGTTCTTTTTTCTCTCTCGCCTTTCCCAAAACATAAAACTCCCATTTGTGAAACATTGACTCTTGTTATGAAGAAAAACAAATCATTTCAGGTGCAGTTTTATCGGGGTGAAAAGCTAAAGCCTCACTATTTTGTAATGGAGTCCCCATCTCCGCCAACCAAAATAATACCCCTACCCCCCCCCCCCCCCCCCCCCCCCCCAAGCAGAGGGTCTAATAATAATAATAATAATAATATTTCAGTTCTGTCATGAAATAACATCTCTATGCGCTTCCAAAGAGCTTTGGACTTTATTACCCTAGCTTTAGCTCCGGCAGCCTTATCAGCGCACAGTGCATTTCAAGGAATAATCCTACCAGGTACCCATTTACCTCACCTGAGTGTGGCGCAGAGTATAGTAACCATCTTAGAAGGCATGTTCTTCATAACTTGAATAGATGTTGGCGGTTGTAATTTAAGATAGTGATACATGCATTTATTCAATTAAGAGTTTTTTTCTGCTTCTTGTATTATTTCAAGAGTACTCGATGAAAGAAAGTGTTCGAGGAAGTTAGGTATCAAATCTTACCGTGTTATCGGTGTTTAAATTTCAGCATGTCCTGCTGGTCGCTATGACGAATCTAGCGGATGTACCCCCCGATGTACCCAGATATGTCCATCATGTTACAATGGAGGAGTCTGTCATGATCAAACAGGGATATGCATCTGTCCTCCAGGATTCCAGGGAGATGGCTGTGAAATGGGTAAAATCTTATTCGTTATTCTATGATTGTTTTAATTTTGCAAGAGCAGTTGCCATAATATTGATACTCATCAATTTATTTTTAAGTACAGATCATCTCATATCCCTAATCATAAACCCACCTCGTATCACAATTATATGTGCTTTTCTTGAAAGCAATGCGATATAATAGGTAGGGTCATTGGAAGTAAATTGACCCAAATCTAAATTTTTTGCCTGTAATGCTGTTAGTAATTTAAAATTTAAATTTAAAAAAAATAATCATCTTCTCTGTTTACTACATTTTATCTAGCATGCGGTGGAAATCGCTATGGTCGTAACTGCGAGTACAGATGCGAATATGAGATGTCAGATGATAGCACAGTATGTAGTGGACTTCAGGTTTGTGTGCCCGATCCCTATGGATGTTCATGTACACCAGGATACAAAGGATTGGACTGTACTACAGGTATGTAAACAATAGAAGGAAGTGAAGTTATACTGTCAACAAGGCAATGTCATGGAACATTGATCTTCACTCATTTGGCACGACTCGATATTTGCTCAAAAACCTCAAATCTTTTGAAATCTTATTTTTATGAATTCAATTCAATAACAGATTGATCTTCCGTATTTATACAGTACTCCCTTAAGGGGCCTGTAATCATATTATCCAGTATGTAAAAGTTCAAACACAAACAATAATATACACAAATATTGTGAGATAAATCCGTTGAGGCTAAGTCGAATGACGGAACAAATGAAAAGATTGAAAACATCGAGAACAAGTAAAATCAAGTTTTTCTATTTCAATTAAAAACTTAAGCTCAAATAATATGCATACAATGATTGTTAAAAAGAATAATGTTATATATATCATATGCTTGTTTTTCACAATCGAAAGTATAAGGCTTTTTAGACTAGACTAGAGATATAAAGAGAGAAAATATGCTCAGTATGTCAGGAAGATAAGAGAAGGAAAGAGTAAAGGGGTAGATACGACAAGGGAGAAAGAGATAGTGAAATAGATAGATAGGGAGGGAGAGAGAGAGAGAGAGAAAGAGAGAAACCGAGAGACAATTATGGTAGTTATTCAGATTTCATTGTTTCTATTAATACCGAAACATATTATACTGTGCCGTTCGTTACAGCTTTCATTGTAATAATAGCGTTAGTTTGTAATGATAATAGTCTTCATGTTGAAATATGGGGTTCTCCTTCGATTTATTATCAGAAACATGTCCTTCAATATCCTTTCCTTTATCATTACTACTAAGATTTGTCATTCTATGTTATTCTTGTTCTGAGTGTAGATTTTGCTATTCCATTAATTGGCTTTAAAATATCTTGTGTGTGGCAATGTACATTACTTTTCTTCAAAAACATTTATTAGAATGTGATCAAGGTGAGTTTGGAGCTAGTTGCACGGAGACATGTCACTGTGTATCAGGAGAGTGTGATCGATTTACTGGAGTCTGTAAAGGAAGCTCTACTGAATGTGAACCAATATGGACAGGAAACAATTGTCAAGGTAAGTTCAACAATCGATTTGGGGTTTTACTTACATTGGCTAAAGCTTCATTAACGTGCCTACAAGTCTTCAATGTTTGGGTTATAGTTTTGTTTTAGGTTTTGTTCCTGTTACACAAACATGCCGCAGCCTATTGGTAAACTGGCAGAAGGTTAAAATGAATTCAATGAAGTCTTTGAAAAACTGTCCAAGTTTGAAAAAGTCATGTTATTCTGAAACGTGTTACCTAGTGGAAAGGGTTCTGAAGTCGAATACATGTATCTTAATAAATGTGTTTCTCGATGAATCTTGATGTTTTTTAATCTATCTCATGATTCCTTTTTTGATTGATACATTTTAAAATCAACTTAACCTATACTGGAGCTAAACATGTTGATACTAAGCTCACGATTAAACAGACGAACAACCCGAAAACAACCTTCGGTGGGCGAAGGAATAAACATTTGTGGGTATTTTGAAAGTGTATACTTTTTAATGCGCACTGTATATAACATAATTGTATATATATACTATACATATATCACTAAAAATACAACTAACGAATATCACAATGCTTTCACTATCTCCTTGATTACGAGGATTAGGGACAGGTCATATATTTATCTGCGGTAGTATTTAATATGATATTGTACGTAATATATCCCCCTTACCAGTTGTATCTTTATACGTTGACAGAGAGTAGTATGGATATGTTATTCGCAAACAAAAGAGGAATAAGAGAAACAACACTTTCAATTGGATTCAAGGATTTTTGTTTATGCGCATATTCATCTTGATAAACCATACTGTTTTGTGTTTTGAGACTTGATGATTTATGATAGTAAAGAATGCTGTATCAGCTGCAATATATACTTCTCTGAAATCCATATGACTATGTTAGGATTGAAAATATTATGGCATGTGTTCAACCCATCAAATTCAAGTTCTATCTTGCTTTGGGAGATACTCACATTAACTCTCTCGTATTAACTCTTGATATCTACAGAATGCATGATTGGACGATATGGTCCTAACTGCGAGCGTAAGTATCATCTCTATTGAATTACAGGTATGGTGTGACTGGTGTGTCTAGGTTGATCTCTACTAACGATGTTTAAAAAAAATGGCTTAAACTTAGTCCCTAAACATTCAACAACAAAAGATTGTCCAATCAAACATAAAAGATATTTGATATAGCGCCTTTTCGTTGCAGTTACAAGGCGCTGCACACATGCTCCACAATGTTTGGGCCACTTAAAATCAAAAGTTAGACACTTTTCATTGAACAGTCAATTATATAATTTATGTAGACTGATAATAAAGTAATTATTTTAGAGTTTAAAATTATAATTGTATAATGTTGGGGAGGTAATTAGAATTACTATCTCCTATATTACTATTTCATTTGATAGCTTTCATGATTATTTATGAAAAGACCAACAAGGGACAGCTCACCAATTTTCTCTGTAGCCTGGAAGGTGGAAATCTCATCTCCACAGCTCCAGTGGTCAATCTCTACAGGAAATTCAACAGTGGAATTTATACAAAAGAAAACATAATACAAAGTGGAAATGGAGTCCCCCCGAATGAAAAGTTTCTGTATCTCGTGCGTGATGTGAAAGTTGGAGAAATATTTGTCTGCTCTCTCTCTGATGTGAACATCTTCTTTAGTGACACTATCACTACCGATGGGGAATTTAGTAAGTTGATGGATGTAGTTTTGTAAATTATAAAGAAATGCATATGGCTCCGTTTAGTCTCATTTCACAACGCCCCCTATCGTCAGAGCCTGGTCAGAGTCAGCAGCCTAACATGTTAGCCTATTGACGTTTTTTTTTTTAAATAGTTAAAAATTCATTTTTTGTTTACACGAAAAGCACATCAACCCCGACGTACGTTATCACTAGCTCTTTCATTGGAGCCCTCATGTCTCATTGACTTTTGAAAGTTCACCCACCGTAATTTTTCAAAATAGGTTGCAAGCTCGTCATTGCCAATAATACACATGTGAAACAAGTCTAACTTTGGACTCAGTTTACCAAGCGATTTGAAGATTATAGGTCGAGCACACGAAACATAAAAAGCATGAATTATCATAGATCACTTCTGCCTATTTCATTATGTCCATTTCATCCAACCCCCCACCGTAATTTTTCTATTTAGTAAAAGCAAACATTTTGCCGAGTTTAGCAAAAACATGAATATTCATGAACGGTCAGACAATACAGCCTTTTAGTACGTAACGTATAGTGAATGGGAATGTGCGATGATCCGTTCAGGAGGTAGAGGTCAATGGTTTGTGCTGGCAATGTTCACGCGAGCGAAAATGAGACAATCGGAGCAATATGACTTTGTTATAGTAATTGTATACAGTAATATTATCATTAAATCCACCCGAAACTACCATTAAACAAAAGAAATACAATAAAGTATTACAGTTTTGTTTATTTCAGTGATTTTAGTTATGTACATCGTTACCAGAACTCATTGTTACTCACAATTTGTTTTTTAATAAAGGATGATGCCAGGTTAGGATAATTATATTAATCCTTTGACTACTTCATTTTCTACTTCCCAATGAGTGAACACGGGAACCACAGGGTTCTCATAGACATTGGGCCAATTTCAATACTGATTTCAGAGGTCAGACATTTAAAAAAAAAAAACTGTGTATAAGCTCACTATGAGCTGTTTTCAGATATGTGTGACTGAAGAAAGCATTGTTCTTGTTGGATAAAAAGAGAAGTAAATTTTCAAATTTTTTCTTCAAAGTAGCCTGTTTAATGTAAGAAATATTTGCCCCAAACTCTGCTATTTATCCAACACAGTTTGAAATAACCTTTTTAATTCAGAAATACTCTTTCAATCTTCACTGGATCATTGAATATTTTTTCTTTATCTCACTATAGCCCAACCAGAACTCTCTCGAGCACCCGTTGTGAGCGGAGCAACCAATGACTCAATTACTCTGATGTGGGATGCCTGGGATGCATCAACAGATATAGGTGATCCTCCTCTTTTCGGGTACCGTGTCTACTACATGTTGAACAACTCACGAGAAGAAGATCAAGAGGTTAGGAGGTCTGACCGCCTAGCACCATCTGAAACAGTGACCGGTCTAAGTCCAGATACGGCCTACGTGTTTGGTGTAGCAGCATTTAGACCTGGACTAGGAAGCCAGGGACGCCGATTGGAGGTAGTAGGAACCACCCAATGCTCACGTAAGCTCTTAATGCTCTATATGATCTGATATTTTATAAATTGTATATTTGTATAATACAATATTATTAAATTTAATACTTAGAAAAATGAAAAACCAGTAATCATTTATGTGTTCGCAATATCAGTGTATTTGTTAAATGGCATTTCAACATCTAGTCTCATAGTTCGTAAGCCTAGTATATCAAGATGATTGTATCAGAACAATATCAACTTGATTCATCTTTCACAGGTTGGTTAAAGAACAGTAGTGCATTACAAATTTCAGTACTATTAATTGGCAGGTTTGTACGAAGAAATAATAATTTAGTCAGTTTTAACTGCCAAAAAAAACTAGAATAATTGTGATATTTTCTTGAATTTAAAACAGGCTCATGACTTGTCAAGTTGTCAATAAAATACTACTTTTGTATTGACAAACAATTGAAAGCCAAACCATGATGACAATTTACCTCTTACCTCTAATTTATATCTAAACTTCATGGCAATGTATTTTATTAAATATTGTCTAGATAAGGAATTTAAAATATTTTAATATAACAAATATTCGATCTTATTTATATTGTGTATGTAGCTCCTAGTCGAGGACCGTCATCCGTTTACGTCACTAAGGGGACTAGACCTGGAGAAATATGGGTATCTTGGGAGGTAAGTTAATATTTATTCCAGAAGTGTTGAGCACGATTATTTTATTTTTCTGACTGGAAATGTGAAGGTTGCTGGTTCAAGCTCCGACATGACATTTATCTACATTCGCCATTCTCGACCCAGGTGTCAAATTAAATCGGGTAGAAAGGGATTCCTTGAATGATGGCAGCACTAAAATTGAGAACTTGATGTATATAAGCACTATGAATTTGTCAAATATAATAAGTATATCAGTCAAGTGATTCACTGATTTCAATCACCCAACAGTGGTTTTGAAGCCCTCAGAAAAGTTATCTCGAACATTTTCTGTAAAAGAGCAAAAAGAGTTTATGAACGTGTGTACAAAATTTGTGGTGAATAAAAAAACTGCCCGTTGCAAAATTCAGATGTTAAAAGTACTCTATTTTTGATAATAATAAATCTATTGCCAACATACCCCTAGGAAATTTGTCAATTATGATTTTTACAACATTTTAGAGCTTTTAATGCTCCCCATGCAGGGGAGAACGTGCAAACATTGTGTGCTGGTAAGCCTGAATCCGATGACTGGGTAATATTTGTGAGGCGCTTAGACACATCGTTGTATCAATGTATTGGGCGCTATATAAAAGCGGAATATTATTAACAGTTTTGAGATTTTCGCCTTCCAAATACCTGCAACAGCAAATTCAGTACTCCGAAATGTATAGTGTTGGCCAGGATACAGCTATATTTTGTCTTCCTGGAAGAGACGTAGATAAACCATGATGCTTCTTCCCATGGGAAATATTATATTATTTATGAAACAATTAAATTAAAAACTATGATCTACAATTTTAGATTTTTGATTTATTTATTTTTGATTTTTTTTAAAAAGGCTTTTGTATGTTTTTATCTCGTAGAATCCACCATCCAATACTTCTAACTGTGCCAGTGGATTTGGAGGAATCCGCATCTACTTCACCCGGTATGACATCCAGTCTGGGATCTCAAAGAGGGCGGCTGACCCCAATGAGAACTCCATTGATATTCCGTTTGACCCCTCAATGCCTGAATACACCCTGACCCTTGAACCGTACTCCCAGTATCTCATCCAGGTTGTAGTCTACAATAAAGACTCTGAGACGCCAAGAGGAGAGGGCTTTACACAGATCACAGAGGAAATGCGTAAGAGGAACAATAGCATAATTGTATAAATAGTCATGAAATGAGAAGTTTGTATGTGAAGTAATAGAATGAAACTACATGCAAAATCATTTTCCAAATGTGATGAAACTGAAGGAGATAATAATAATAATAATAATATGGATATTTATATAGCGCCGGTATCCGCCAGGCTCTGACGCTCATGGCGCTGTACATACATGTATTACTATCACAAAAATATAACATTCTTAACTAAAATAAAGTAAACTAAAACAACACAAATTATTACGCTACATTGACATGATTAAATAGCACTGTTTAGAAAGAGATGGGTTTTTAGAGCAACTTTGAAGGCATGAAGGGTAGTTAAATTACGAATACTAAGTGGCAGCTTATTCCAAAGGGACGGACCAGAATGAGAAAAAGCTCTATCCCCCCAGGAACTGCGCGTCTTAGGGACAACTAATAAGGAGGATTGAGATGAACGAAGACGTCTTGTAGGCTTATACTTAACAATCAACTTGATATTGTAGGAAGGAGCAGAGTCATACAATGAATGGAAAACTAACAACAACAACTTAAAAATGATTCGGTCACATACCGGGAGCCAGTGAAGAGTTTTGAGAATGGGGTTGATGTGGGTTCTACGAGAAGAAAGTGTGACAATACGTGCAGCAGTATTTTGCAGTTTCTGAAGTCGAGAAAGTTGTGTGTTAGGGAGTAGATAGAGAATAGAATTACAGAAATCTAAGCGTGATGAAATAAGAGCATGTACAAGTTTCTCTGTGGTTGAACGACTTAAGTATTTCCTAATAAAACCTAGATTTCTTAGTTGATATCTGACTGAATTACAAATACTAGAAACATGAGTTGACAATGACATAGACGAGTTTAACATGACACCTAGGTTACGACATTGCGAGGAAGGACTAATTACAGAATCTGATATGGATATATTGAACGACTGTATCTTAGCAAGATTTGATTTGGAACCCAATAAAATTAGTTCAGTTTTACTATCATTCAGTTTGAGTGAGTTCGAGTTCATCCAAGTTTGCACATCCTTGACGCAAGCTTCGAGTAGTTTGACAGTCCGACTTGCGTCATTTTGATTGGGAAGGAACGATGCGTAGATCTGGATGTCATCTGCATAGCAGTGATACTTGACATCATGCTGCTGTAAAACTTGCTTGAGCCTAGTGATGTACAAGGAAAACAGCAACGGCCCCCCGACTGACCCCTGCGGGACGCCACAACTGAGCTTGACTACGCATGACTATTAACATATTTTAAAGGCTGAACAAGATCATTTCTAAACATTATGAAACTACAAGGGGGCAACCATGCATGTCTCTTTCTAGAAATGTAAAAGCTGTGTAAGATCTTACAATAAGATCACTTCATTTTCTGTGTATCCTTCTGTTTTATGATTATGTTGTTTGTTATGTCTGTGGTCTTGTAGTCTTGCATAGACTTGAAGGGGAAACTTGAGCTTGAGTGTTTGTGAATCTTAAGTATGAATACAAAATAATGATTCAATAAATGAGTAGATAAGAATGAAATGGAGCATTTAGCAACATGGCCATGTGACTGTAATTTCTGTTTTAGAAAACATTTTAGAAAATTATATTTTGACTCTTTTTCGTAAACAATCTCAAACCCAGGAGGATGAGAAGTGAGAGATATATCACTCACATAACAATACATCTGACAATTATCTTGTATTTTTCTTTTCCTCAATTCAAAATGAAAAATATAGCTTTTGAACTGCATTACCGGTTTATTTCAAACTATGAAACGAAATACAACAAGATGTATGCTTCCACAAATCCAGTAATTAGATTTAGGATTTCATGCCTTTTTAGCATGTGCTTTAATCAGATAATTTCCATACTTCTTTTCAATGTTTTTTGTTTTCGTATTTGTAGTTGCCCCTGCGCCCACTGTAAGCGTTGAAGCGACCTCTGAAACTGTAACTGTACGCTGGAATGCTGCAAGTCCTGCTCACCTCAATGGAGATGTACAGGGATACCAATTAAGATACACCCGGACAAAACCAGAACCACTTGATCCAGTACTAATTAATGTTATGTGTAACGAATATGTGATTACCGAAGGAGTGACAGGAGACAGTGAATTTGAAATTGAGGTAAAGTTCTTGCGTGCTGTCCCAAATTAAAGGACTTTTGAGAAAGGAATAACTAAAGTAATACTTCACTTGTTGAGGACCATGGACAACCAAAATAGATTGCCTCGAAACAAAATTAAAAACTAGTCATTATTAGAATAACTGAATAAATTTTGTGCAATTGTATGAAATAGGCAAACTCAACTTGTTTGTGGTAGTACCATTTTCTGCAACCCAATATTGTTTACTGCCTGTAAGAAGGCCATATATGTTATGTATTGTCAATGACAGTAAAGGTCATCTTGTAGACAGTTTGGTGATATGTTGGTTTACGTTAAGTGATAGCTATTTTAACTTTAATATATTCCAGATGACGGGAATGGTTGGTATTAATTTTAATACATTTTAAAGATTTCATTCCCTCTTCATCCCTCTTTTCTCCAGGTCCGAGTTTTGAATGGAGCTGGATACGGTGAATGGTCACCATTAATGACTTCCCCATTGCCAGGTAAAAAATTATTGATACAAAATGTGAAATGGTCAGAATGGGTCTCTTGGTGGTTACATACAAAGATTCATTTGGAAATATACAACCGTGCCCTAAAATTGACATTTTGTAGGCATTTTGTTTATGTTAGAATAGCTGTGATATGATACAGACATACATACCCAATAAAGGTTAAATGTTTTTACTTTGTAGCAGGTCTTATGGGGTAACGAATTTTCGGAAATATGAGCCTTCGGGGTAACGAATTTTCGGAATTAGGCAGCTTCGGGGTAACGAACCTTTGGAAATATGAACCTTCGGGGTAACGAACCTTCGGAATTATGCATCTTCGGGGTAACGAACCTTTGGAATTATGCACCTTCGGGGTAACAATCCTTCGGAATTATACAGCTTCGGGGTAACAAAAATTCGGAATTAAAGGGAACCAAGGGGTGCGTTGGGAGTGTCGTGTCGCGTCGAACGCGACTGTTCGTCCAAAGCACCCCCCTCCCCCCGGTTCGGCCGAAAGGGTGTGTTGACTAATCTTCCACATCAGCCGTTTATAATAGAATTTACGGAATAGTAATTTAAGTCGTTTAAATTCAAATAATCAAGATAGAAACAGATTAAAAATTAAATAAAAATAGTTTTTACGTAGTCTTGCAGATCAGGCGTTTATAAGAATTACATCAATTAATGAATTCAATAAATATTTTAAAAGGCTAAATAAAAATAATATTCATTTCTTTCTATGCATAGAATACATTTTTGATGTGAACTAGTCCTGCTTAACAGTCTTTAAAAATGAAATAACAAATAGATAAATAAGGGTGTAGGCCTACCACCTTAATGCACCCTTTCGGGATAAGCGGGCGGGGGCTTGCTAAATTCCATACATAGAAAGAAATGGATATTATTTTTCGTTATTTTAATAAATAAACGACTAATATGGTAGACTAGGTAAACACCTTTATTAGACATTTTAGATATCATAGTAAATTATCTGATTGTGTTTCTTGTTACTATTGATTTATTTCTTATAAACGTCTGATCTGCAAGACTACGTAAAACTAGTTTGATTTATTTTTTAATCTGTTTCTATTTTGATTCAAATTTAAACGACTTAAATTTCTATTCCTTAAATTCTATTATAAACGATTGATGTGGAAGACTAGTCAACGCACCCTTTCGGCCCTTTTTTTTACTCACACGGTATGCATGTCTATTAACATATTTTAAAGGTTAAATAAAATCATTTCTAAACATAATAAAACACATTTAGATCACTAAAATTATGTTATTTGAGTGTTTGTGAATCTTAAGTAGAAATACAAAAACAATGATTCAACAAATGAGTAGATGAGTATGAAAGGGGAAGCGTTTAGCAACATGGCCATGCGACTATAATTTCTGTTTTAGAAAACATTATAGAAAATTATATTTTGACTCTTTTTTGTAAACAATCTCAAACCCAGGAGGATGAGAAGTGAAAGGTATATCACTCACATAACAATACATCTACCAATTCTCTTGGATTTTTCTTTTCCTCAAATTAAAATTAACAAAAATAGCTTTTGAATTGCATTACCTCGATTTATTTCAAACTATGAAACGAAATACAACAAGAAGGACAAAGTTAACTTTTAATACTTTGGTTTTTACTGGACCTAAATTTTGGAACTCTCTAGGCTCTAGCGTTAAGCAATCTGTTAGTCTCTCTTCATTTAAGTGTAAACTTAAGGTTTATCTTCTCGATAAATACTGTGACTCATAGAGTAGTTCATTTGTGTAGTTATTATGGTGCCAAGATATATTATGTATTACTATAAATGTAAATTTTCTTCTTGATATTAATATGTGTCTAACTGAATATTTTCAGATTGTCAACCTCTTATTCCCTCCCCCTGTTGTCTTGTGCCCGTTGTGTGCTGTGCCTATTGTCGATGTGCTGTATTCTTCTATTATTTCTCATATTTTCTCTTTTCTCCCGTCTTGTCTAGTCTAGTCTCTCTTTTTGTTGTTGTTGTTGTGTGTGTGTACACTTCTTGTTTTGTTATACCCCCTTTTCCCTATTGTATTCTTAGGTAGTCACAAATATCTATTCATCATGTTTTATCCGGCTCAGAGGGGACCCTAATAATTACAAGCTCTGCTTTTACCAGGGTCTCCTCGTCTTTCTTTTAGTAAGCTATGCTTTTTATCATTATCATAATTTGTTATTTTGCTTTGTAAATGTGTTATGATCCAATGTTATGCTCTGTATGTCATTTGAAAGAAAGACGAATAAAATCTTATCTTATCTTATCTTATCTATGTATGCTTCCACAAATCCAGTAATTAGATTTAGGATTTTACCGTGCCCTAAAATTGACATTTTGTAGGCATTTTGTTTATGTTAGAATAGCTGTGATATGATACAGACATACATACCCGATAAAGGTTAAAGGTTTTTACTTTGTAGCAGGTCTTAGGGGTAACGAATCTTCGGAAATATGAACCTTCGGGGTAACGAATTTTCGGAATTATGCAGCTTCAGGGTAACGAAGCTTCGGAAATATGGACCTTCGGGGTAACGAATTTTCGGAATTATGCAGCTTCAGGGTAACGAAGCTTCGGAAATATGCACCTTCGGGTAACGAACCTTCGGTAAGATGAACCTTCGGGGTAACGAATTTTCGGAATTATGCAGCTTCGGGGTAACAAAGCTTGCGAAATATGCATCTCCGGGGTAACAAACCTTCAGAATTATGCACCTTCGGGGTAACGAACCTTTGGAATAATGCACCTTCGGGGTAACAAACCTTCGGAATTATGCACCTTCGGGGTAACGAACCATCGGAAATATGAACCTTCGGGTTAACGAATTTTCGGAATTATGCAGCTTCGGGGTAACGAACCTTCGGCAATATGCGGCTTCGGGGTAACAAACCTTCGGAATATTGCACCTTCGGGGTAACGAACCTTTTGAATTATGCACCTTCGGGGTAACGAACCTTTTGAATTATGCACCTTCGAGGTAACGAACCTTCGGAATTATGCACCTCTGGGGTAACGAACCTTCGGAATTACGCACCTTCGGAATTATGCACCTTTGGGGTAATGAACCTTTGGAAATATGCACCTTTGGGGTAATGAACCTTCGGAATTATTCACCTACGGGGTAACGAACCTTCAGAATTATGCACCTTCGGGGTAACGAACCTTTGGAATTATGCACCTTCGGGGTAATAACCTTTAAGAAGTATAAGCCTTCGGTGGAAGCAAACCTTCAAAATTATTAACCTTCGGGGTAACGGCCACTGGTATTGGTTCTAGTAAATGGTAAACAACAAAACCGATAGAAGCTCTAGGAAATCTGATATAATAATTTTTCTTTTCAGTTATTTTGTTGTCGTTCATAATAATTTTCAGTACTGCTTGATGGTAAGGTTGTCATATTTTTGTTCTTTATGCAATATTTATGATTTAACATATCCTCTTCTAAATTTGCTGATGAATACTCTCAAATATTCACTTGTTTGTTGTTTCCATTATCTTGTATTTTCTAGGTGATGAGTCTAGATATTCTCTTAGAGCTCTACTTGTTACTGGTCTCATCCCATCGATTCTTCTTATCTGTATCTTCTGTGTAATCCTAATTGTGGTCTTTTTCAGAAGGTATGAACATGTTTGCTTCTCATCAGTTTTCAAATGCATGTCAGGGCATATATTTTCCGAAGACCCTACCATGCATAATCTGTAGGGCAATTGTACTGGTTTCAAAGTGAATCTCTTATTATTTAGTGGAAATTTATTGAATGAATGAATGAATACTAGCAGTCAAGTTTAACAAGTGCTTTTCAGAGAAATTCTCATTTTGTGGATTCTTCTTCCTCTATTTTCTAACATAAACAACGTTCTAGAAGATTATATTAGGCGACAGGCTACTATTCAAACATAGTTGGGCCCTCGTGGAAAAGAGTGTTATACATGTAAATGACTAATTCCTCTACTCCCACTGTCTATATTTTAATTGTGAACATGTGTATATTTATCTGTTATATTATGACGTGTATTATAACTGTGTTATCAGACTAATTGTTTTATTAATGGTCTTCAAGCTAAGCAGCTTTAGTTAACATTGCCATTAATAATGTAGCGATAGTCTACTACGTACCAATTAATATCATCTAATCATGGAGTCGGACTGAAAGTTATGCTCCGTATTCTACAAATTAAGTTTAACACGATGCTGAATCTATAATCACGTTTAATCTTAGAACTCAGACAAACCTCCTTTGTTAATTATGGTTTTCAACCTAATGAGCCCAGCTTCGGGATTGAATTTTAGTAGAATACGGGCATAGGCCTATGATTGTTTGCTTATCTATGAACTTGTAGTTCATTATTGCTTCACGTTATCATAACACAGACGACAACCTGATAAAGGAGAGAATGAAAAGAGCACACATGATGATTCGCAATCACCAAGAACTGCTGAAACCTATCAGGATCTGTATGAACGAGTGAGCAATGATGGCACTGCCTATCAAGAACTTGAATTAACATCGGTACAACAGGGTGATATAGATTATATCAATATCGAAGAGGGTCCTCAAGGAAGGAAGAATTTTTTGAAATCGATTGAGAATGCTGACTGCTAAATCTGTCCGCATTATGGAATGACACGTTGTTCAATTCTGAAAGGAGGCGGGAGCGGGGTATACTGCTGAGTAAAATTGAACGTATAGGCTCTACCCCTCCTTAAAAATATAATGTGGGCGAGCAATAAACAAAAAATACTATTTCTCATAGATTATTACATATAACAGACTAGTCCTTATATATTGCTACTAAGGTCAATTTCTTGCTTTTTTGCTTTTTTTTGGAGGGGGTATGTTTAAAAGTTCGACACAATATTTTCACGTTTGTTATTTTGTTTTTAATGTGATTAATCATACACATTAAGGTTTACAAAATGTGGAACAATATATAAGAAGATTGTAAGGCCTTGGTGCGGTGCATTCATCTACCGAAGTTATCTTTACTATCAATATTTTTTGCAACGGTCTCTTTTTCGTAAAATTCCAACAAAGAACCCCCCCCCCCCCACAAAAAATAAAAATAAATAAATAAATAAATAAATAATAATAATAATAATAATAATAATAATAATAAAAACGATGATGAAAATCATGTTATTACGGTCATAACGACTTTTGCATAACATGTGTGAACATGAAAATGACAAATTACGTCATCCAGACATGATTTCTGCAAGAAATTACCCCTGATGATGAGTTGAGGTTTTAAAGTATTTGCGATCATGTCATGTAAACAGTAGCAACAAAATCTAAGATGCTCTTTTTAGTTTTCCTGTGGATATTATAATGTTATACTCCATACAGCACAGTCACTAGAATGTATTAAAAATAGTAACTTACGGTAGTAGTAAACGTTATAAATGCTAAGCATGATTAGTGATGAGAGTACTTATTTCAATTATATCATTCAAGGATATTATATAACTTTTGAAGACAATGTAAATGGTCTCTTTCATCGATAATTGATATTTGATGATCTTTTGTACATAATGTGAAGATAATTGTTAACATGTGCTTACTAACTCGATGAAAATCGATTTGTATGTGAGTTTAATTTTTTTTTATATATAAACATCGTTATGATATCAGAAGTTGCAATGAAATAAGTATCGCCTTTTTTAGATATCGCTATTTGCTGTTAAAAGTTGAAAACGATGAAATGTATATAAATTAGATGCATTAGTTTCCATACTTCTATCAAATCGACAAAATTGAGGACTATCAGAAAGATAGTCCATTAAACACAACCGCAGATTAGCATTATGAGAACCCAACTTTTGAGTCGCCTCCTATATTAACACCTATGAAGGTTTGAAACGTGTGGAAGACAACACTGCAGACGACGCTTACGTCAATGTGATGTCAATGTGATGTCAAAATCTGAATAAACCAATATAATTTGACGTCTACAGAGGTGTATCTAGAATAAATCAATTATTTCAAAATCTAAAATCAACGCATAAGGCACGAACTGTCGGTTAAGCTTACATTTTGGAAGCGGATTACATACGGTATGGCCGACACCAGCCTACAATGCCAAAATGACAAAAAGACAGGCGAAACATATGTCACAATTTAATTGGAAAACGCATGCCTTTAACAAAAATATGAATATGAAAAATCTGATAAAGATGTGCAAGTTAGTCTTTTCTGAAATGTCTTACATTGTGGGATTTGCATCTATATTGTTAACTGGGATTGTACTGTGTCCCTTTCTCAGAAGAAACCATATTTCAAGCAATACTCCATTTACATTATTTAACAGACAGGTGGTTTGCAATTATATAGGTCTGAATGCGTATGATTTTTGTATTGTTATCAACAATGTATTTTTGTCTTGTAAGCCTCATTCATATTGTGTAAGTTTGTTAACAAAAGTTTCTAGAAGTACAGGAGTCTTGTCGAGGCTCATGTTATTGTTATCCCACAATATATATGTATGATTAATTTGTATAACAGCTTATTTTTGCCTCACCTAACATAATAATACCGTATTGGGTCATTCTTTTGAAAGCCATCTCTTTGAATTTGTAACACTACAAACATGATTTCGCCACCCCATATACATGTAATTGTCTATCATGCCAGTGCTTCAGAAAATTTTAAAGAGAGGGTATTTAAATCAGTTCAGAGACTGGCCAGTTATTGAAGAAATCTGTTCAGAGACTGGCAAGTTATAGAAGAAATCAGTTCAAAGACTGACAAGATATTAAAATATTTTGGCAGTCTCTGGAATCATTTGAATACTCAGGCTCATTTTATGTATAAATACATATCAGGTAATTTACCAATATTGTTTGTTACTATGTTAACCTTTAACTCATCTGTGCATTCTTACAATACTCATCACTGTTGTATGTTTTTATTTTATGTATAAACTATATTTTATCACAATTCTTTTTTAAATGTTTAGATTTGAAATAAATATCGTACTTTATTACTGCGCTGTAAAAAATGGGACCCTTTCCAAAAGCATTTTGCTTTTAAGTGTATACCGCCGTTTCATTTTATGATTTTATTTCGGTTGTAATTTTGCTTTTGTACTTGCATTGCTTAGTTATGGAAATAAATGAAATTGAATTGTATTGAACTGACTTGAATGAATTCATTTTCTTTTGGTGATTCTTTTGTTTTCGTTGAGATCAAGAACCAATGTTCTTGTATGAATGAATTAACCTATTGACTACTGAATTATTTTATATCCTTAGGCTTTTATACAGAACCCATCCGGTTCCAGTAGGCAATGGGTTACTAGGAGGGGAGACGAGGATGTGGAGGGTGAGGGGTAAAGAAATAGAAGAGGGGTGTAGGCCGGGAGAGGAGGAGTGAGATGAGAAAGAGAGAGAAGAGAAGAGGAACGAGAAGCGAGGAGGGTGAAGGAATTGAATGAGGACAAAAATGCATTTAACAAAGCAAACAAGTGGAAGTAAAAGAAATGACTTATCTCACACTTCAACTTCACATTGCGTACGTTATGATAACATTTGGTCCTTGGTGCTACAGACAAAACCATTTTCATCAACAGTGCGTCCCAGAAAAAAACGAAATCGAGAATTATTGATGTTTTATCATAACTTAATCACAATTATAATTCATAAATGATACATATTTGTAAGGCTTAGATCCTCCTCTTTCATTTGATGCAAGTCTTATGATGCATTATTTACGCATGAGTGGTTAAAAACGAAGAGAGGGTACCAACATTCATTTTGGTGGGCGGTATCTGAATTTCAAAGAGAAAATCCGCGTAATGTTTAGGACTTGAAAGTAAAAAATACTATTTCAACATATTTTATTAGCTTGAGTTGCTAAAATGTATCACATTTTGACAAATCATACAGGAAAGAAGTTTAGAAAAATCGGCAGAACAGGCCCCAAAGGGAAACTTTGAGGTGGTTCAGCATACAGTTTTGCTAAGACGTTTCCAATAAATCCTGCCCAGAGAGTGCATGTGGAAAACTGCAATATCATTGATGTCAAAAAACAGATAACTTCACATAACAAATGATCAAGCAAAACGATCAAATGAGTCTCTTTCATACACATACACATTTAAATGCACTATGCTTCATTATAGTCGTACACCACCAATGTCAGGAATGTTGAACTACTCACAGTGGAGATAAATATAGTTTTATGAAATACGCCTGAGCTCACTGTTTGTTTGTTTTTATTCTCCCTTTGTCGACTATGCATATATCGCATGAACAATCGCGAATTTGAATGAGGTGTATCAAGAATCAAATAATGAATGTATAACCGTTTCCGCATGCAAGATCACAAATTCACATGTCCTAATCAGCTACTAATAATAAGTAAGGGTAATTCCCATTCACACATTAACAGCCGTTTCAAGGGATCTATCTGGTTTGGACCTTCCTGCAGGCCTCCATAATAGACTCATGTTCAACTACTGGCCTCTCCAAGTACTACATCTACAAAATTGCAGCTGAAGTATGCGGACCAAAAATCTCTCATGTTTGTCTTCTGCAATAACACCTTTTAGGACGGGTTTTTTTTTTTTTTTTAAATAACTGAGAATCGCGTTACGTTCTCAGCAACATTAATAATTTCCATATACCATTTTTGGGGCCACATCCTGTCTCTGTTTACTTTGGAAAGGACTGCATGTTTGACTTTTGTGGCAACTTTATTAATGATGTTAATACCATTACTTTCCCAAAATACTTGGTGGCATTGTAGAGTTGTTTTAAACAGCCTGTATGTATGAATGATTTTGACAGAAAGTTTGAACCACACGAATGATCCCCCGCAAACGTCCTAAAAGGTACAGAGGTCGAGATTAGAAATCAGTGGATCCTGGGTGGAAGTTCATTTCCGCAACGAATTTTTCATGAAGCTTATCACAAATGTAAGCCTGTTTCGATTCCCTTCCCAAAGCCCAAGACAAATACAAGGCCTCCCTAAAGGAAATTATGAGGTTGTACCATATTCATTTTCTGAAATAGTTGTGGAAACTTGTGGAAGGTATTGGAAATGCTTTAATCAATATATCATGTAAATTGTTATGTAATGATAATTTCCTCCTCCCCTCCTCATAATCATGATGATGACTATGATAATGATGATAATAATGACAATAATGATTAAACTATGCGACAGCAGTAATAATAACAAAGTAATGACAGGAATGATAATGATCATTATTGCAATAATCGTAATACAAATAGTCATGATTAAATTACTCGACATGAAACACCAAACCACCGAGGACAACTGTAATAGAGATACTACTACAACATTTTACTAAATTTCAGTGAGGATGGTTAAGTAGTTTTTATGGGTATTGCCAATCAGAATCTCGTTGCTTTTTTAGACACCCTGTATTCAATTATTAACTGTTTATGTTTATTCGGCAGTGGTTAAAATTCCAAAAATTCCTCAATTGAAACAAGTTTCCTACATAACAATACGTGATTCGGCTTTCAGTCATTTGGTTTTCATGGATGCTTTGATCACTGGTCACGTTAGTAATTCGTCATCGAATTGAATATGGATTTTATGAGGATAATGTTTGGTGTTGTAATGCTATATGTTCATGGAGGTAAGTGAATACAGTTGTAAAACACGGGAATTTCCTGAGGTTATAGACAAACCAAGAAGTTTTAAGAGATGGAGTATATCTGGCGCATTCCCTTTGTACCATCTTCGATGCCGTGGTTGGGGGGGGGGGGTGATAGGTGCCAAAATATTTTCGGCAATGGATCAAAGCAACCAAGAGGTAGAAGCGTGTGGCAGGTTGCACCCCTCCCTTCCAAGTTATTAACTTTTTCAAGTCGCTCCCAATACAGATAACATTTCAGAGAATATGAGACCTATGTGGGTCCCACATGGGCTTGCTACCTGGGTTATTATCCTCTCAAGCGCGTTGCCAGGATTTAATTTTAGGGGGGCGGTAGTGAACAGTGAGCAGTGAGTGGGGGTGGCTCGACTCTTAATCCTTGTTTGAATCAAGTTCCCCTTCCTAGCGCGGAAGCTTTGACGTTTCATTAAATTATTAAAGAAAGAAGACGATTCGTTGTACCGTTCTCGACTCTTAACCTTGTCTGAATTCAGTTTCCCACCTCCCCCTCCCGCGCGAAGCGCGGAAGCTTTGACGTTTCATTAAATTATTAGAGAAAGAAGACGATTCGTTGTACCATTCTCGACTCTTAAACCTTGTCTAAATTCAGTTTCCCCCCTCCCCCCTCCCGCGCGAAGCGCGGAAGCTTTGACGTTTCATTAAATTATTAAAGAAAGAAGACGATTCGTTGTACCGTTCTCGACTCTTAACCTTGTCTGAATTCAGTTTCCTACCTCCCCTTCCCGCGCGAAGCGCGGAAGCTTTGACGTTTCATTAAATTATTAGAGAAAGAAGACGATTCGTTGTACCGTTCTCGATTCTTAATCCTTTTTCTTCCTACGTCCTCTTCCTTTCTTCTTTCTCTCTTTCTCTGTTTTTCTTTTGGCCGCCCTCCGGCCCCCTGGCTACGCGCCTATATCCTCTCTGTCTCTCATTATCTCTCTCTCCCACTCTCTACTTCTTTTTTGCACTTTCGCGCTTCGCGCTTAACATTTAGCTCGTTGCTTTTTAACGCTGCGGCTTTGCATTTGGCGCACTGCATTTTTATGATGCTGTCTCATTTACTTCGTTTTCTATTCATGTATGTATTATGAAAATGAGATAGCAAAATGTGTATATTAATTGATGGTCATCTTGCGAGTAATAACCATTAACTACTCTCATCGGGCTCTCATCATTAATTTTCTCTTCATTTTTTTGTTTTGTTTTGGTGATGGTGAATTATTGGGGGGGGGGGGATGATTGTACAAGCCATCCCTCCCACCTGAAATATTGGGGGGATATATCCCCCCCCCCATCCCCCCGGGATCGACACCCATGCCGCCAGGATAAAATATGTCAGGCATGTGCTTAACTCGATCTTCCTTGCAGATACGTAGACAAAAGATTCCTGCCTAGCTGCGAACTAACGGGCCACTTTCAAAGGGAAATATTCTTTTCTAATGATAATTACTTTTCGCTACCCCTCGTCTGATAATACGTGCAGTACACAGTGCTTACCTTTACAGGAGGCAAATTTGTCTGAAATATTAATCAAAACTACTCGACTGGGCATATGTGGGCACTAACCTCACATATAACATCATAAAGAACTGCACATGAACATATTCACTTTTTATTTTCGTGAGCCGCAAGTAATCGGAAAAGTGTCAAATTGCAGGTCTAAGAACTATGAATTTTTACTATTTTTCACAAATTCAAGCTGCTTTCATATAATGTAAGCAAATTTCTTGACACAATTAGGCTTTGGTATTCATATGTTATCATCTGTTCCATTTTCACCTTGTTAGTTCAAACAAAAAGTGAAAAAATAAGGATATTCATTTGTGACAAAAATCACGACTCAAGCTTTCCAATGATATTGTCGGCTTCGAACCTCGGACATCCTAGGTTACAGCATACCAGTATATTATATTGTGCAACTATAGAAAACGGCAGCTGCTTGGAATAATTTGTTGCCAGTTGGGTCTCCATCTCTAAAAACTCCTTGGATAAACATATATGAAGCATTATGTTTTTATACGGCGAATGACGGTTATCATTTCGGCAGTTTATTTAAAACGCTGATAATAGTTGGGTTTCAAATTGGCTTCGTATAAAAATTGATTGAAATTATGGGGGTGTAAACAGCGTTTGGAAGATGTTTCGCGTATAAGCTGTTACATTAAAACCATTTTATTTTAATATACATGAACGTCATAGCGGAAAATTAAGGATTTTATATTTGGGCTCTCAGATCAAGATGCTACTTATACTGTCTGATATTTTTAATTCCTTCCTTGATTATGTCGATTAAATTTCACAGCTGTTCATCTGTTTAATTTTCAGCATCGGCATCTGTTTATATATCTACCACGAGTAGAGGATATACAAGCACAGAGACTGGTAACCCTTTCTTTGAGTGCTACAGAAGTCATCCTTATTTGACTGCTGCTGTGTCTAACGGGAGGTATGTCTATTTATACAATGAAGTGGACCCATTAGCTACACCAGTTAATCCAGCTAATGCTGATCCGCCAGAGAGTGTCCCCTTCACTGCTGGTGATCCACAAGTTCAAGCCTACAGAATAAATCTTGTGACAGCCGAACACAGGTCGTATGGTGCCTTCTACTGTGCTTCATCCCTGGATGGAGAACGCTCTGTTGTACCGACACTCTTCTTGAGATCTGACGGTAATTAAAAATAATCATTCATCGTATTCAGACTGTATTTGATAATAGAAGCCTCACGATTGTAGCTACCAAGTTTTGATTTTTTTCTTTAATTCACATTGAGTTCTTACAAAGCCCTGCATGCTTATTGTATAGCATATCAAAGCATGATTACTCTTATTGACTTTGGAACAGTATACAAAATATTAATTAATTAATGAGGTATGTCTGATTTGTAATTGTTGATGCAAAATTCTAGATTACAATTCCTGTGTACAAGTTGACTTTCAAAGTAACCACGTTTCCCTTTTAGAGATAAAGCAGACATCTTTACCATCATTATCATTGAAATCAATTTGTTCATGTCCCCCGGTGGACAATGTTTGTTCACTCATAAAAGTTGAGAAAAGGAACCGTGTCTACTCCGGTGGTTTTTAAATTTCCAATTTCTGTAAAGGGTTAAATACAAATCATATTTCTAGTATTGTCTTCAAATGAAGCTGAAGCTAATTTACGACTGGCTTGATATTGTGGGAACCATCGAACAAAATGTTCTGTATCCTGACACCCTCAGTCACAACATCAAACCAGCTCCACACCGATTCCAAACCGACCGATTATTGACCATTTAGGGTAATGTAATGTAATGTATCGATCTGTCTGTTGTTGATCTGGTGTCGATCTTGTCGGTGTGACTGTAGTGTTATGGTGTATTATATCGTATTCTTTTCCATTCTTCTTATTATTATATTATCATATCACATTTATGGTCACGATAGTTCGTTCATTTCGTTTTCAGCTAAGTTTGAGCCCACAAATGGCAGATTTTCAAAGACTGTCAACAAGGGGGATGTGAACGTTACGGTTGATTTTACTGAGGTTACTCCTAGTGGGACGGCAAAGTACTGGAGGTTTAATGGTACAACTGATATGACTCTAACTATTTTTTCTGGCACGATCTTTGAGGGATTGACTGTCTACACAATCATAGGAGAGGTAGACACCTCAAATGGTGGTGTTTATGAGCTTCATTTGGCCGGTGAGAGGGGACAGGCAAGAGCTGGACTTCTTAGACTGATCGTAAGAGGTAATCGGCGAATTTAGTCATTGTACTATAATATTATATGGGTACGGGAAAGCAATGTGAGGGTATTCCATTCCGTTATTACTATTTGACCATCCTGAGAATACAACATGATCCTCTCAAAATAGTTTCCAACTGATTTACTTATTGTACAATTTATCCAAAAGTGATTTGTATGTATATTTTATCAGAGGCGGTTCTCCCGGGGGGGCAGGGGGGCACAGTGCCCCCCCCCCCCACTTTTTCAGATACCCCAAAAGTGCCCCTTTTTACATAGGAAAAGTGCCCCTTTTATTTTGTAAGAAGTGCCCCTTTTACTTTGACAAGTGCCCCTATTACTTAATAAAAGTGCCCCTTTTCACCTCTGACGAGTGCCCTTTTTATTTTTGACACGTGCCCCTTTTCCTTTGACATGTTCCCATTTTCCTTTGCAATAAGTGTCCATTTTCCATTTTCATCAATCTTGAAATTATCTTTAATAAGTGCCCTTTTTAGTCTCTAGTAAGTGCCTCTTTTCAGGTACGAGAATTGCCCCTTTTCACTTTTGATAAGTGCCCCCTTCACCTCTGATAATTGCCCTATTCAAAACTGAGAGGTGCTCCTTTTACTTTGACAACTGCCCCTTTTTTCCTTTGTAAGAAGTGCCCCTTCTCCTTTTGATAACTACCCCTTTTTTAAACTCGGATGAGCACACCTTTAATTTTAACATGTGCCACTTTTATTTTCTAATAAGTGCCCCTTTTCCTTATGATAAGTGCCCCCATTAAAAAGAAAAAGCTCCCTCCCCTTCTCATAACGGCCCTTTTTTTAAATGTGAACGGTGCCCCCTTTTCATTCAACAAATGCACATTTTCCTTTATTATAAGTGCCCCTTTTACATTTTCATAAGTGCCCCTTTTCATATCTGGTCAGTGCCTCTTTTCACCTCTGATAATTCCCTTTTTAATAATGATACGTGCCCCTTTTCCTTTCTAATAAGGGATCTGTCCCCTTTTCACCTCTTATAAATGCCCCTATAAAAATCTGATGGGTGCCCTTTTTCCGTCAACAAATCCCTTTTTTCCATTTTCGTAAACGCCTCTTTTTCTTCAGGTGAGTCCCTCTTTTCAGGTGAAAAAATGCCTCATGTTCACCTCTTATAATTATCCTTTGTACTTTGACACGTGCTCCTTTTCTTTTCTAATAAGTGTCTTATCCCTTTCGATAATTGTCCTCTTTTCATGAAATCATTAAACATGCCCCTTATTTAAAGCGAGTAAGAGCAATTTCCCCCAAAGTTCGCTCGCTGCGCTCGCTCGCATTTAAAGATGATATAATTATGTTAGTTATCAAAGGTCTTTTCAGTCTTCCGTTATGAGAATGTGCTTATAACCCAATTACGATTGGCTTTTTTCCTCTTATAAGATGTAATTTTTCGCACTGCGACCTCGCAGATCTTTAAAATTTTTCTCGCTCGCTTCGCTCGCTCGTAAATGCATATTCAGCCATCCCACCCAACTGTAAAGTATGATGCTTAAGCGATATCTTGTATGATGTATGAAGAGAAACAAATATTGAAATAATCCCTGATAATGTAATCACAATGCAGGGGTATGTACCAATGTCTAAAAAATTGTATATTTTCGCTTTGAGATTTCCCACTGTAGGTGCCCTTTTTTCTTCAGAAAGTGCCCTTTTTTGTTGGTGCCCCCCCACTTTGGAAGTCGCTCGTCCGCCCCTGTATTTTATGTTCCAACGTAATCTATTTTGCAATATGCCTTTCATTAATAGTTTCTGCGGTGATGTACATTGAAGTAACCCGGACGTAATCTGTATTCCCCTTTGATTTTAAATTAAAAAAAGGTGATTTTGGAGGGAAAAAAAGGTTAAGAAGTATAGTTGATTTCAATATTCCAGAAATGTGATGAAAGTGTCGATCAAACTTGAAAATTGTGCCTTGGATAACACCACTCACAAGCTTCTCTTTCTTTCTTAGTTAATTCTCCGTTATCATTTATGACAATTTTATTTGGCATTCTCGATTTTTCTTCTTCTTCTGTTTTATTATTTTTAAAGCTGGAACAGTGGCGTATCTAAACATATGTTTAAAGGAGGGGTGGGGGCTTCAACATATACGCCGTACAGCGTTGTCTACGAAGTCACGTTTCGACCACTGACACATAAAATTTCCCCCGAAATATCCATAACCTTTTAGTATTCAGGATCAGTTTTGGGGTTGCTTATCTTGCAATAATGTCGTAATACGGCTGAAAAACAGAATTGAATTGAATTGAGTTGAATTGAATTTAACTCGATTCAATATGCATAAATATTAAATTAAAAAACAGCTTTGTTTCTGTCATTGAAAAAGAATTTGAAATGTGGTCCATAATAAGCTGTTATTTATCATAATTCGAGTACATGAGAAATTTTGAGGGCCATCCCATTCATGAAACGTTGTGTTATGTTCTTCCATACTAACGTAAAATGAACGAAAAAGCTCTTTTTTCAGTTCTATGGGGGTGAAAAGCTAAAGCCTCACTATTTTTTAATGGAGTCCCCATCTCCGCCAACCAAAATAATACCCCTACCCCCCCCCCCCCCCACAAATAGATGGTCTAATAATAATAATAATAATAATAATAATATTTCAGTTCTGTTATGAAATAACATCTCTATGCGCTTCCAAAGAGCTTTGGACTTTATTACCCTAGGTTTAGCTCCGGCAGCCTTATCAGCGCACAGTGCATTTCAAGGAATAATCCTACCAGGTACCCATTTACCTCACCTGAGTATGGCGCAGAGTATAGTAACCATCTTAGAAGGCATGTTTTTCATAACTTGAATAGATGTTGGAGGTTGTAATATAAGATAGTGATACATGCATTTATTCAATTAAGAGTTTTTTCTGCTTCTTGTATTATTTCAAGAGTACTCGATGAAAGAAAGTGTTCGAGGAAATTAGGTATCAAATCTTACTGTGTTAACGGTGTTTAAATTTCAGCATGTCCTGCTGGTCGCTATGATGAATCTAGTGGATGTACCCAGATATGTCCATCATGTTACAATGGAGGAGTCTGTCATGATCAAACAGGGATATGCATCTGTCCTCCAGGATTCCAGGGAGATGGATGTGAAATGGGTAAAATCTTATTCATTATTCTATGATTGTTTTAATTTTGCAACAGCAGTTGCCATAATATTGATACTCAATACTTTAATACCAAAACAAAACTTATCCTCATAACCTTTAAAGAAATCGGACCAGTAAGACTCATAAGACCAACCACGAGCACATTTTGTCATAATTTAGTCCTAATATACTGATGAAACCATGTTCTAATATAGGAATACACTTTTCTTCGGACTTCTTTGAGATATTTATCATTAGAGGTAGGTAGTGTCTTTTGAATTACATTTTATTGTCCATTAAAAGAACTATAACACTATGAATCGCTTTTACTTTTATCTTCATATATCTTTGATGAAAAGAAATTAAAACTACAATGAATTTATTTTGAAACACAAATCCAAATCCAATATGCAGCTTGTGGTTTATATCGCTTTGGTCGTAATTTTAAGTACAGATCATCTCATATCCCTAATCATAAACCCACCTCGTATCACGATTATATGTGCTTTTCTTGAAAGCAATGTGATATAATAGGTAGGGTCATTGGAAGTAAATTGACCCAAATCTAAATTTTTGCCTGTAATGCTGTTAGTAATTTAAAATTTTTAAATTTTAAAAATAATCTTTACCTTCCCTGTGTACAACATTATATCTAGCATGCGGTAGAAATCGCTATGGTCGTAACTGCGAGTACAGATGCGACTACGAGATTCCAGATGATAGCACAGCGTGTAGTGGACTTCAGGTTTGTGTGCCCGATCCCTATGGATGTTCATGTACACCAGGATACAAAGGATTGGACTGTACTACAGGTATGTAACAAATAGAAGGAAGTGAAGTACTGTCAATTGGGTTATTGTCATGGAACATTGAATCTTCACTCATTTGGCACAAATGGGAATTAGCACACAAATATCAAATATGAATTTGGAACTATTTATAGCTCTTTTTTATATGATGCTAATCATTACCAGTCAAGGTGGACTATACTGCTGTCCTCTTCAAATACCTTTTCGATTTATTCTTCTCTTCTTTTTTTCTATATATGTTATCTCACTGCACTATTTATGATACTATATGTTTTATGTTTATATGTTATGCCCTGCTTTGGCAAATCTATTGCCCTTGGCCATGTATGCTATTTGCGATATATGTCTGATCATTTATGATCAATTTGTACCACTGTCTATTTTGATCATGAAATAAAGGCTAAAACTTGTACCGCTAAGTACAAACACCAACACACCAGAAAATATAAATGATTGCAGTATATAAATATATATACAACAGGGCTCTACGCTAATTTTTTTTAGAAGGGGGTCCAAATTAAATGTTTTTTAGTCTGTAGATGAGCCCTATGTACACATTTTGACATATTGGTCCATGGCTAAGTATTTGATAATGCCGCTGTCTACAAAACTGCACAACAGATATTTACATGTAAACAACAAAAATGTAACAACACAGCAGGGGTTTACTTTAATGTGTTTCTTATGAATTTGTTTTCTCTTATAACAAACACTTATTAGAATGTGATCAAGGTGAGTTTGGAGCTAGTTGTACGGAGACATGTCACTGTGTATCAGGAGAGTGTGATGGATTTACTGGAGTCTGTACAGGAAGATCTACTGAATGTGAACCAGGATGGACAGGGACCAACTGCCAAGGTCAGTCTAACAATCTATCAGTGTTGCCAAGCTTGAGAAGCTTGAGTTCTGGGGAGAGGTGAACAATAATTTGTGACTGTTTTCATTGTTATTATGCAAGTGTGGATATATCGAAGAAAATCAGAGAAAAATGTTCCCTGCAAAGCATGACTCTTCAAATGACTTCATATTCGTATGAGGACCACATTTTTACGCCACATATGTTTGTGTAGTCCCATATACATCTTTCTGTGTACAGTGCTTTTTACTTTTACCAAGACTGGGCCAAATTTCTTATCATTTTGATGATTCCAGAACGTTGTAGTACACACCGATACTAATATGCCAAATAATCCACTTTTTCTGATCGATTCCACACCGTTTCTTTCACAATGCAATCGCGTGACCAGAACTCTACTTTATCTTTAAGTATTAATTATAATATTGCTAGTTTTGTTGTCTGGTGTACATGTATATGCAACAGGGGCGTACGCAGGATTTTTTCAAGGGGGGGGGGGGTAAGCTGACACTTTTTTGGGCAAAAAAATCGCAACGACTCAGCCAACCGAAAAGTCGCTCAGTGGGGGGGGGGGGGGGGGGGGGGGGGGGGGGAGTAAGCGGACACTTTTTTTTTTTTTTGGTCTCGAAATTTGAAAAATTGACATTTTTGTTTCGTTGGGGGGGGGGGGGTAAGGTCACTTAAAAAAAAAAAAAAAAAAAAAAACAAAGGGGGGGGTTTTAGTTTTTTTAAGGGGGTTTACACACATACAAATACCAAGGGGGGGTTTGAACCTTCCCCCCCCCCCCTGCGTACCCCCCTGATATGCAATGTTTACACCTATGAGTGTATTTTGGTTCTTGAAACTACTTTTATTTGATTTGAACTAGTTTATTGATTAAAACACATACATTCCAAAAAGCAGCCAGAGACTGAAACAAATTGAATTGCAGAAGATGTTAGAATATATTACATTGAAAATTGATTCGATAAAATACAGTAATATGCACAGTAATTATCATTGCACACAAAATCAACAAGCGAATGGAAAAGGATAGGGAAATGAAAAGGACAGACAAGATACAACTTGAAATAGAAGAAGAGGGAGAAAAGACATGTTTGGATAGACATTGAAGTAATAACAACATAATAATTTCAACCAATGATTGAAACGAATAAATTGTGCAAGATTAAATACAATTATCAAAATATCAATAAGTATGGCTATTCATGAGTTATAGTGCAGATATTCATACTGATCCATACAGTACGTGGGAATTTTCAGGTTTGTAGTGTGATGAAGTGACTTGCTCATCTTAAAAGACAGATGATATAGTTTGAGTTTAGTATGCAGTAAATCTATTCTCTTACTTAATGTTTTGTGCTTGTTGCAGATAATTTATTATCCCCTCGCCGACGAAGTCGGAGGGGATATAGTAACGCTGCCGTGCGTGCGTCTGTCCGTCCGTAACAAATTTGGTTTCCGATCGATAACTTCCGTAATGTTTGACGGATTTTAATGAAATTTGTTATGAAGGTACATGACATCACAATACAGGCTAAGTTCGATTTCGGAGTACGTAGGTCAAAGGTCAAAGGTCATAGCTCATTAAATATGCGAAAAAATATACATCTGGTTTACGATCGATAACTTTAGTAATATTTGACAGATTTTAATGAAATTTGATATGAAAGTACATGGTATTAAAACACACCCTAAGTTCAATTTCCTAGGAAGTAGGTCAAAGTTCATAGCTCATTAAATAAGCGAATCTGGTTTCCGATCCATAACTTTAGTATTGTTTGACGGATTTTAATGAAATTTGATATGAAGGTTCATGTTATCAAAACACAGCCTAAGTTCATTTTCGGAGTTTGTAGGTCAAAGGTCATAGCGTATTAAATATGCAAATCAGGTTTCCATTCGATAACTTGAGTTATGTTTGACAAATTTTAATGAAATTTAATATGAAGGTACATGGTATCAAAATACATGTAAAGCCTAAGTTCGATTTCTGAGTATGTAGGTCAAAGGTGAAAGGTCATAGCTCATTAGATATGCAGGAACCCCTATGTGAAAATGTGGTTAACTTCCTTGCCTAGTAATATAATAGTATAGTCCGATGGAGAAAACTTGTTCTAACGTATATAGAGACTTTGTACTGTGCGAGGGGATGCCACGCTTTGCGTTGACTTGTTTCAATTATTTTTATATTTCAGAATGCATGATTGGTAGATATGGGCCTAACTGTGAGCGTAAGTATAATAACAATATTACTGGTATACAAAAATTGCATGCTCTGGCGTTCAAAATAACACAAATAAACATACATACTATGTTGAAAAAAGAACGAACAAAGCTTGAGCAGAGCTTCTTCTTCATACATACCCCCTCTATATGCACAAGTCTGCCATCATGATCGATTATCAGTTTGTGTTCAAACCATATAGTAAAGTTTATATTCATTCAATGAAACATGCATAGCGTACATTGCAAATTTATTGCAAATAAACAGAGCAGTTTAAATTCCAAGTGAAATTAGCATCTGTTAATTTTAGAGGAAAAATAGATACAATTAAAATGTCTCACTTAAAAAAAAACAAATATGAGGTATTAAATGTTGCAAGTTTTGAAACTGTAGACATAACTTCAATCTGCCTTGGACAGGAATAGCTAATAGTAGGTCATAATTATTATTCTAACTGTATAATTGTTAAAATTGGCAGTCTGCACGAAGTGATGAACATGAACCTGCTGGGGAGGTAATTAAAACATTATCTTACATAACTGCGTGAGTTTAATTATCTTTCATTTTCATTTTATAGCTTTCACGGTTATATATGTAAAGACCAACAAGGGACAGACGAACAATTTTGTCTGTCGCCTGGAAGGTGGAAATCTCATCTCCACGGCTGAACCAGTGGTCAATCTCTACAGGAAATTCGGCAGCGGAAATTATACACAAGAAAACATAATACACAATGGAAATGGATTCCCCCAGAATGAAAAGTTTCTATTTCTCGTGTTTGATGTGAAAGTTGGAGAATTGTTTGTCTGCTCTCTCTCTGATGTGAACATCTTCTTTAGTGACACTGTCACTGGTGATGGGGAATTTAGTAAGTGGATTGATGTAGTTTCGTCATATACAAACAATTTTTTTAATGATCTAATACCAAACGAATATCAGGGAATCCTCCATCATTATATGTATGTTCCTCATGATACTGTCAATTGGTAGACCGATCAAAGAAATATGATAATAAAATTAAGTTTTGTTTAATTCAGTGACTTTAGTAATGTACCTTGTTACCAGAACTCAGACATTAATACTCACAATTTGTTTTGTAATAAATGATAATGCGTGTGTAGGATGATTATTTTAATCCTTTGACTGCTGTATTCTCCCATTCCCATAGATTTAACACAAGGACCAGCTGGTTGCAGTATGCAATGAGTTAATTTTAATACCGGTTTCAGAGGTCAGACATAAATAACCCTCTGTGTTATAAGCCCGTTATGAGCTGTTTCCAGATATTTTTGACTAAAGAAAGACTTATTCTTGTTGGAAAACCGGAGAAAATCATTTTCAAATTTTGTCAAAGTAGTCTGTTGAATTTAACCCTATATAGCCCGGGCTATTTTGAAACTGCATAACCCGGGGGGGGGGGGTGGGGGTCTTCTAAGGCCCCCCCCCCTATGATCTCGGCTATTTATGGACCGATTTTGTCCAAACTTGGCGTGTTTGTGTCTTATCATGTACTAATCAAGAATGCTTAGTTAAATTTATGATATATATCGTTAATTTTAATTTATGTCTAATTAATGATGCAAATATGCAAATTTTCCAACGAATTCTCATTTTGTTCAGTTTTCCCCCTATTTTTGGAGAAAATGCAATTAAATTTGGCATGTTTGTAGCTTGACATATAATTTAAAAGATAGGGTAGTCAAATTAATGACATGTATTGAAATTCCATACTTATAATTGTAATTAATTATGAACATATGCTAATTTTTCTTGAAATTCTAATTTCTTATGTATTTCTTTGTTTTTAAATCTTTTGTTTTTCATTGTTTTGTTATCTAGAATAGTTCATGGTAGCCAAAAGGGATGTTATCTGAATAAAAACAGAAAATAACATTCTTCTAACAACACTTCTTGTTAAACCCATACATTGTACACACAAGATCATTGGAAACCATTTTGGAGCCGTTTTTGTGTGACATTGGTCACAAATATGTGCTACATCTCCGATACCATACCCCCGATTTTCACAAATAGGGTCTTAAAGTGTGCGGGAGATGTCAAAGAAAAAACTCATGAAATTTCAGCGCCAGATTTCAAATTCCTCGAAAAAAATATGAGAAATATCATGAAAGAAAAAAAAATGGCGATTCTATGTTGTGTACTGGTGTTACGCGCGTTAAAAAAGTTATCGCAAAAAAATATATAGGGTTAAGAAATATTTGCCAAAACTTTGCTATTTATTGGACAACACAATTTGAAATAACCGTTTGAATTCAGAAATAGGCCTACTCTGTTTCTTATAATCTTCACTGGTTCATTATTTTTGGTTTTTCTTTATCTCACTGTAGCCCAGCCAGAACTCCCTAGTGCACCCGTCGTGATCGGAGCAACCAATGATTCAGTCACTCTGATGTGGGATGCCTGGGATGCATCGACATATATAGGTGATCCTCCTCTCATCGGGTACCGTGTCTACTACATGTTGAACAACTCACGAGAAGAAGATCAAGAGGTTAGGAGGTCTGACCGTCTAGCACCATCTGAAACAGTGACCGGTCTAAGTCCAGATACGGCCTACGTGTTTGGTGTAGCAGCATTTAGACCTGGACCAGGAGGCCAGGGACGCCGATTGGAGGTAGTAGGAACCACCCAATGCTCACGTAAGCTGTTAATGCTCTATATGATCTGATATTTTATAAATTATACTGTAGCATGTTTGCTTTCTTTAGTAAGGTAAATCCAATGTGATTTTACATTGTGACTATATAATTAATACTAACTGCATCTTTCCTTGAAAGTTTAACCTTTCATGTATGAATTCATTTTGAAAAGATATTAAGTAATACAATATTATTAAATTTAATACTTAGAAAAATGAAAAACCAGTAATCATTTATGTGTTCGCAATATCAGTGTATTTGTTAAATGGCATTTCAACATCTAGTCTCATAGTTCGTAAGCCTAGTATATCAAGATGATTGTATCAGAACAATATCAACTTGATTCATCTTTCACAGGTTGGTTAAAGAACAGTAGTGCATTACAAATTTCAGTACTATTAATTGGCAGGTTTGTACAAAGAAAAAATAATTTAATCAGTTTTAACGGCCAAAAATTTTGACAAAAATCTAGAATAATTGTGATATTTTCTTGAATTTAAAACAGGCTAATGACTTGTCAAGTTGTCAATAAAATACTACTTTTGTATTGATAAACAATTGAAAGCCAAACTATGATGACAATTTACCTCTTACCTCTAATTTATATCTAAACTTCATGGCAATGTATTTTATTAAATATTGTCTAGTGCAATAAACCACTAGATATGGAATTTAAAATGTTTTAATATAACAAATAGTTGATCTTATTTTTATTGTGTATGTAGCTCCTAGTCGAGGACCGTCATCCGTTTACGTCACTAAGGGGACTAGACCTGGAGAAATATGGGTATCTTGGGAGGTAAGTTAATTCTTATTCCAGATGTGTTGATCACGAGTAATTTAATCATTTGACTGGAAATGTGAAGGTTGCTGGTTCAAGCTCCGGTAAGACATTTATCTACATTCGCCATTCTCGACCCAGGTGTCAAATTAAACCGGGTAGAAAGGAATTCCTTGAATGCTGGGAGCACTGAAATTGATAACCTAACGAGAACGTGGTGTATATACGCACTATGCAATTGGGATATAATAAGTATATCAGTCAAGTGATTCACAGATTTAAATCCCCTATCAGTGATTCTGAAGCTCTACAAAAAAAATTATCACAACATTTTTCTGTAGGAGCAAAAAGAGTTCATGAAAATGTGTGTACAACATTTATGGTGAATACAAAAACTGCCCGTTGCAAAATTCATATTTAAAATGAATCTATTGCCAAAATTCTCTTGAATAAGCCTGGAGCGCTTAGACACGTCGTTTTTGCGATGTATTGGGCTCTATATAACAGCGGAATATTATCAAAAGTTTTGAGATTTTCGCCTTCCAAATCCCTGCAACAGCAAATTCAGTACTCTGGAATGTATAGTGTTGGCCAAGATACAGCTATAATTATTTTGACTTCCTGGAAGAAAAGTGGATAAACCATGATGCTTCTTTCCATGGGAAATATTATGCAATTTATTTAACAATTGAATTATAAACTATGATTTACACTTTTTGATTTTCATTGTACGGCTTTTGTATGTTTTTATCTCGTAGAATCCACCACCCAATACTTCTAACTGTGCCAGTGGAGTGGGAGGAATCCGCATCTACCTCACCCGGTCTGACATCCAGTCTGGGATCTCAAAGGGGACGGCTGACCCCATTGAGAACTCCGTTGATATTCCGTTTGACTCCTACACCCAGACCCTTGAACCGTACTCCCAGTATCTCATCCAGGTTGTAGTCTACAATAAAGACTCTGAGACGCCAAGAGGAAAGGGCTTTACACAGATAACAGAGGAAATGCGTAAGAGGAAAAACTGCGTAATTTGTATAAATAGTCACGAAATGAGAATGCTTGTATGTGAATTAATAGAATGAAACTACATGCATGAATAATTTTCCAAATATAACGATACTGAAGGAGGTATATACAGTGTGATTCTAAAATAAAGTTAGACCTAGAAAATTGCTAATCAGGTGGGCTATATCTAATACAGACCACCTTATAATTTTGTTAAAATTGCCTTTATTTATTTCTTTATCAGGTGGGCTGTATCTAATACAGACCACCTTATATTTTTGTTAAAATCGCCTTTATTTATTATTTATTTATTTATTTATTTTTCTTATTTCGACCCACTTTTTTGTGTTCAAGATAATTTGAAAATGGCTCAATCAAATATCTTAAAATTTAAAACACATATGTATAGGCATATTCACAAAGCATAGGAAATTTTTCGACCTTGACCTTGACTGATGACGTCATCTAGGCGCCATTTTGTGAAAAAAATTGAAAATCAACTCATGATCATATCTTCATAACCAGAAGTAATTTCTCATTCATATTTATCAGGATCAAGGTCAATATGTGTCCGGTCGATTTCAGGTCAAAAAACGCGCGCGTGCAAATTTTTTAAATGCTCAAAATCGTCTCAAATTTGTTTGGCATACGTTTCAGGTCATTTTAAGCATTTTATATAAAATCGCGCATACATGCATGCGCGCGCGTTCTCGCGCGTAACACCATTACAAAACATAGAATCGCCATTTTTTTTTTCTTTCATGATATTTCTTATATTTTTTCAAGGAATTTGATACCATGTTTATCTCTTTATGACCATTAATAACAAGATGAGCGTCAATTCAAGATAAATGACAGTGCGCGCGAGCGCTTTTAATACATAGCATATATGGGAAAAAAACATGCCTATACAAAATTCATTATAGCTCTTTGGAATGAACCGTGACCTTCAATTTTTTTTTCATATTTGGATAGAGTATGAGTTGGAGATATGATTCCATGTCTCATTTGGCCATTAAGTGTATCGTGACATCATCATAATGAGCTTCGAACTAAAAATAGGAATTTGCATATTATGACGTCAGCATATTTATGGAAAATTGATTGTATCTCTGTATATATTGATCAATTTTCTTCCAAATTTCGATATGTTGTAGCTATGATAATTGTCTACAAGTTTAATGATAACTATTCTTCATTTTGATGACGTCATTAGAGTGAAAATTTCGATTAAAGGCCTCATGTCAAAAATGACATAATTTGCATGTTATGCCTATAGAAGGTGATTTTAATTCACGTTATGAATCTACATGATATTGTTTTTTAAGAATTTTAAAGCAGTATCTCGCTTATTTTTGCTCTATTTTGTCTCAAATTTTAGTTGACCAGCCAACCTATACTTGTTCCAAACAAGTATTATATGTCTAGTTTTTCTTATTTCCACCCACTTTTTTGTTAGCAAGATAACTTGAAAATGGTATAATCATATACCTTAAAATTTGGCACACATATGTATAGGCGTATGGAACAATCACGGTAAGGTTTTCAACCTTGACCTTGACTGATGACGTCATCTAGGCGCCATTTTGTGAAATTTTCTGAAAATCATCTCATGATCATATCTTCATAACCAAAAGGTATTTCTCAATCATATTTATCATGATCAAGGTCAATATCAGTCCGGTCAATTTCAGGTCAAAAAGGCGCGCGTGCGCGTACGTCCGCGCGTCAGTGCGCTTGCAAAAATTTTAAATGCTCAAAATCGTCTCAAATTTATTTTGCATACGTTTCAAGTCATTTTAAGCATTTTATAAAAAATCGCGCACACGCGCATGCGCGCGCGTTTTCGCGCGTAACACCAGTACACAACATAGAATCGCCATTTTGTTTTTCTTTCATGATATTTCTCATATTTTTTTCGAGGAATTTGATACCATGTTTATCTCTTTATGACCATTAATAACAAGATGAGCGTCAATTCAAGATAAATGTCCGTGCGCGCGAGCTCTTTTATTACATAGCATATATGGGCAAAAACATGCCTATACAAAATCCATTATAGCTCTTTGGAATGAACCGTGACCTTCAAAGTTTTTTCATGTTTAGATAGAGTATGAGTCGGAAATATGATTCCATGTCTCATTTGGCCATTAAGTGTATCGTGACATCATCATAATGGCCTTGGAACTCAAAATACGAATTTGCATATAATGACGTCAGCATATTTATGTAACATTGATTGTATCTCTGTAAATATTGATTGATTTTCTTCCAAATTTCGATATGATGTAGCTGAGACAATTCTCTACAAGCTTAGTCAACATCATTTTTCATTTTGATGCTTCATCATAGTGAAAATTACGATTAAAGGGCACATATCAGAAATTTCTTAAGTTGCGAGTTATGCCTAAGGAAGGTGAATTTCGTTTACATCATTACATCAATGACATTGTTTTTTAGCAGTATCTCGCTTATTTTTGCTCTATTTTGTCTCAAATTTCAGTTGACCAGCCCACCTATACTTGTTCTAAACAAGTATTATGTCTAGTTATTTTTAAAATCATCTATGAACAGTAAATTAGTATACATCTTATGAAAGAGTGTTTTATTTCAAATCATTTGGTATCATTTTTGTGTGGTATGTGTTCACGCTAGGATAAACGAGAGGCATTGTTTGCGAGAGTGCAAAAATCGACTTGCGCCAAAGTTGCTTATGTGATGTTCGAATAAAACAGTTGGGATTTGGGTATTAATTCGGTCTTTGCAGATCCAAATAACATCCCTAACAAATTTGATCATGCTACACATATCAAATATCAATGAACATTTGTGTGCGTGCGAGTGTGTGTGTGTGACTTTGCTTATGCAAAAATGCAATGCATTTAATTTGATACATTCAATTCATTCTCTCACTCCGCTAATCCTAACATAATACATACGGCATCATTTTGGCGCATGTCGAGTTTTGCACTCTCGCAAACAATGCCTCCTGTTTATCCAAGCGTGAACACATACCACACAAAAATGATACCAAATGATTTGGGATAAAACACTCTTTCATAAGATGTATACTAATCATAGATGATTTTTAAAATAATTAGCAATTTTCTAGGTGTAAACCTTTTTTGACTCACACGGTATGCATGTCTATTAACATATTTTAAAGGTTAAAAAAGATCATTTCTAAACATTATGAAACTTAAAAGGGCGCAATCATACATGTCTCTTTCTAGAAATGTTAAGGTTTTGTAACATCTTACATTTAGATCACTAAAATTATGCTATTTCTTGTGTCTGTGTTCTTGTAGTATTGCATAAACTCGAAGGGGAAACTTGAGCTTGAGTGTTTGTGAATCTTAAGTAGAAATACAAAAACAATGATTCAACAAATGAGTAGATGAGTATGAAAGGGGAAGCGTTTAGCAACATGGCCATGCGACTATAATTTCTGTTTTAGAAAACATTATAGAAAATTATATTTTGACTCTTTTTCGTAAGCAATCTCAAACCCAGGGGGATGAGAAGTGAGAGATATATCACTCACATAACAATACATCTGACAACTCTCTTGGATTTTTTCTTTTCCTCAATTCAAAATAATAAAAAAAGCTTTTGAATTGCATTACCGGTTTATTTCAAACTATGAAACGAAATACAACAAGATGTATGCTTCCACAAATCCAGTAATTAGATTTAGGATTTTATGCCTTTTTAGCATGTGCTTTAATCAGATAATTTCCATACTTCTTTTCAATGTTTTTTGTTTTCGTATTTGTAGTTGCCCCTGCGCCCACTGTAAGTGTTGAAGCGACCTCTGAAACCGTAACTGTGCGCTGGGATGCTGCTAGCCCTGCTCACCTCAATGGAGATGTACAGGGATACCAACTAAGATACACCCGGACAAAACCAGAACCACTTGATACAGTACTAGCTGATGTTGAGGGTAACGAATATGTGATTACCGAAGGAGTGACAAAGGACAGTGAATTCGAAATTGAGGTAAAGTTCTTGCGTGCTGTCTCAAAGTAAAGGAATTTTGAGAAAGGAATAATTAAAGTAATACGTACTTGACTTGTTGAGGGCCATGGACAACCAAGATTCTTTGCCTCGAAACAAAATTAAAAACTAGTCATTATTAGAATAACTGAATAAATTTGATGCAATTGTATGAAATAGGCAAACTCAACTTGTTTGTGGTAGTACCATTTTCTTGCAACCCAATATTGTTTACTGCCTGTAAGACGGCCATATACATGTATGTTATGTATTGTCAATGACAGTAAAGGTCTTCTTGTAGACAGTTTGGTGATATGTTGGTTTACGTTAAGTGATAGCTATTTTGACTTTAATATATTCCAGATGACGGGAATGGTTGATATTAATTTTAATATATTTTAAAGATTTCATCCCCTCTTCATCCCTCTTTTCTTCAGGTCCGAGTTTTGAATGGAGCTGGATACGGTGAATGGTCACCATTAATGACTTCCCCATTGCCAGGTTAAAAAAAATGTATTGATACAAAATGTGAAATGGTCAGAACGGGTCTCTTGGTGGGTACATACAAAGATTCATTTGGAAATATACAACCGTGCCCTAACATTGACATTTTGTAGGCATTTTGTTATTGTTAGAATAGCTGTGATATGAAACAGACATACGATCCTTCGTAAATATGCAGCTTCGGGTATTAAACAAACCTTCGGAATTATGCAGCTTCGGGGTAACGAACCTTTGGAATTATGCACCTTAAGGGTAATAAACCTTCGGAATTATCTTTGGAATTATGCACCTTCGGGGTAACAAACCTTTGGAATTATGCACCTTCAGGGTAACGAACCTTCGGAATTATCTTTGGAATTATGCACCTTCGGGGTAACAAACCTTCGGAATTATGCACCTTCGGGGTAACGAACCTTCGGAATTACGCACCTTCGGGGTAACGAACCTTCGGAATTATGCACCTTCGGGGTAACAAACCTTCGGAATTATGCACCTTAGGGGTAACAAACCTTTAAAATTATGCACCTTCGGGGTAACGAACCTTCGGAATTATCTTTGGAATTATGCACCTTCGGGGTAACGAACTTTCGGAATACGAACCTTCGGGGGTAACGAACCTTTGCAATTATGCACCTTCGGGGTAACGAACCTTTGCAATTATGCACCTTCGGGTTAACGAACATTCAGAATTATGCACCTTCGGGGTAACGAAACTTCGGATTTATGCACCTTCGGGATAGCAAACCTTTGAAATTATGCACCTATGGGGTAACGAACCTTCGGAATTATGCACCTTCGGGGTAACGAATCTTTGGAATTATGAACCTTCGGGGTAACAAACTTTAAGAAGTATAAGCCTTCGGTGGAAGCAAACCTTCAAAATTATTAACCTCGGGGTAACGGCCAATGGTATTAGTTCTAGTGAATGGTCTACAACAAAACCGGTAGAAGCTCTTGGTAATCTGATATGATAGTTTTTCTTTTCAGTTATTTTGTTGTCGTTCTTAATAATTTCCACTACTGCTTGAGGGTAAGGTTGTAATATTTTTATTCTTCATGCATATTTATGTTTTAACATAAATATCCTCTTCTAAATTTAATGATGTGTTTCGAATGTATTTTTCCAGGTGATGAGTCTAGATATTCTCTTAGAGCTCTACTTGTTACTGGTCTCATCCCATCGATTCTTCTTATCTGTATCTTCTGTGTCATCCTAATTGTGATCTTTTTCAGAAGGTATGAACATGTATGCTTCTCATCTGCTTTCAAATGCATATCATTGCCAACATTTTCCGAAGACCCTACCATGCATAATCTGTAGGGCAATTGTACTGGTTTCAAAGTGAATCTCTTATTATTTAGTGGAAATTTATTGAATGAACGAATGAATACTAGCAGTCAAGTTTAAAAAGTGCTTTTCAGAGAAATTCTCATTTTGTGGATTCTTCTTCCTCTATTTTGTAACATAAACAACGTCCTAGAAGATTATATTAGGCGACAGGCTATTATTCAAACATAGTTGGGCCCTTGTGGAAAAGAGTGTTATACATGTAAATGACAAATTCCTCTACTGTCTATATTTAATTGTGAAAATGTGTATATTTATCTGTTATATTATGACGTGTATTATAACTGTGTTATCAGACTAATTGTTTTGTTAATAGTCTTCAAGCTAATCAGCTTTAGTTAACATGGCCATTAATAATGTAGCCAGAGTCTACTTCGTACCAATTAATATCATCTAATCATGGAGTCGGACTGAAAGTTATGCTCCGTATTCTACAAATTAAGTTTAACACGATGCTGAATCTATAATCACGTTTAATCTTAGAACTCAGACAAACCTCCTTTGTTAATTATGGTTTTCAACCTAATGAGCCCAGCTTCGGGATTGAATTTTAGTAGAATACGGGCATAGGCCTATGATTGTTTGCTTATCTATGAACTTGTAGTTCATTAATGCTTCACGTTATCATAACACAGACGACAACCTGATAAAGGAGAGAGTGAAAAGAACACACATGATGAAACGCAATCGCCAGGAACTGGTCAAACCTATCAGGATCTGTATGAACGAGTGAGCAATGATGGCACTGCCTATCAAGAACTTGAATTAAAATCAGTACAACAGGGTGATATAGATTACATCAATATCGAAGAAGGTCCTCGAGGAAGGAAGAATTTTTTGAAATCCATTGAGAATGCTGACTGCTAAATCTGTCCGCATTATGGAATGACACGTTGTTCAATTCTGAAAGGAGGCGGGAGCGGGGTATACTGCTGAGTAAAATTGAACGTATAGGCTCTATCCCTCCGTAAAAATATAATGTGGGCGAGCAATTAACAAAAAATACTAGTTCTTATAGATTATTACATATTACAGACTAGTCCTTATATATTGCTACTAAGGTCAATTTCTTCTTTTTTTGCTTTTTTTTTTTGGAGGGGGGTATGTTTAAATCTTCGACACAATATTGTCACGTTTGTGATTTTGTTTTTAATGTGATTAATCATACACATTAAGGTTTAAAAAATGAGGAACAATATATAAGAAGATTGTAAGGCCTTGGTAGGGTGCATTCTTCTACTGAAGTGATCTTTACTATCATTATATTTTGCAACAGTCTCTCTTTCGTAAATTGTCAACAAAGAACCCCCCCCCAAAAAAAAAACCAAAAATAAAAAAAAAAAAATATATATATATATATATATATAATAATAATAATAATAATAATAATAATAATAATAATAATAATAATAATAATAATAATAATAAAAATGATGATGAAAATCATGTTATTACGATCACAACGACTTTCGCATAACATGTGTGAACATGAAAATGACACCGACGTCATCCAGATATGATTTCTGCAAGAAACTGCCCCTGATAAGTTGAGGTTTTAAAGTATTTGCGATTATGTCACGTAAACAGCAGCAACAAAATCTAAGACGTTCTTATTAAGTTTTCATGTGGATATTATAATGTTATACTCCATACAGCATATTCACTAGAACGTATCAAAAATAGTAACTTGTGGTAGTAGTAAACGTTGTAAATGCTTAGCATGATTAGTGATGAGAGTACTTATTTCAATTATATCATTCAAGGATATTATATACTTTTTGAAGACAATGTAAATGATCTCTTTCATCGATAATTGATATTTGATGATCTTTTGTACATAATGTGAAGATAATTGTTAACATGTGCTTACTAACTCGATGAAAATCGATGTGTATGTGACTTTTTTTATTTTAACTAAACATCGTTATGATATCAGAAGTTGCAATGAAATAAGTATCGCCTTTTGTAGATATCGCTATTTGCTGTTAAAAGTTTAAAACGATAAATATATATCAATTAGATGCCTTTGTTTCCATACTTCTTTCAAATCGACTAACTTAAGGACTATTAGAAAGATAGTCCATTTACCACAACCGCAGATTAACATTATGAGAACCCAACCTTTGGGTCGCCTCCTATTAACACCTATGAAAGTTTGAAACGTGTGGAAGACAACACTGCAGACGACGCTTACGTCAATGGGATGTCAAAATTGGCTCTTCAAATGCCTTCATATTCTAAATATGGCATGTACATCGTAAAAATCGGGACGGATTTTTTCGCCACGTGTTCGTGTAGTTCCATATACACCTTTCTGTGTACAGTGCTTGTAACCTTACCAAGAGTTGGCCAAATTTCTTATCATTATGATGATTCAAGAACCTTGCAATACACACAAATACTCATATGCTAGATGATCAACCTTTTTCTGATCGATTCCACACCGTTTCTGTCACAATTCAATCGCATGACCAGAACTCAACTTCATCTTTAAACGTCCGTCTACAGAGGTGTATCTAGAATAAATCAATTAATTCAAAATCTAAAATCAACGCATGAGGCACGAACTGTCGGTTAAGCTTACATTTCGGAAGCGGATAAACATACGGTATGACCGACAACAGCCTACAATGCCAAAAGGACAAAAAGACAGGCGAAACATATGTCACAATTTAATTGGAAAATGCATGCCTTAAAAAAAATATGAATATGAAAAATCAGATAAAGATGTGCAAGTTAGTCTTTTCTGAAATGTCTTACATTGTGGGATTTGCATCGATATTGTTAACTGGGATTCTACCGTGTCCCTTTCTCAGAAGAAACCGTATTTCAAGCAATATTTCATTTACATTATTTAACAGGTGGTTTGCAATTATATAGGTCTGAACGCGTATGATTTTTGTACTGTTATCAACATTTTTTTTTCTTCTTGTAAGCATCATTCATATTGTGTAAGTTTGTTAACAAAAGTTTCTAGAAGTACAGGAATCCTGTCGAGGCTCATGTTATTATTATCCCACAATATATATGATTTATTTGTATAACAGCTTATTTTTGCCTCACCTAACATAATAATACGGTATTGGGTCATTCTTTTGAAAGCCATCTCTTTGAATTCGTAACACTACAAACATGATTTCGCCACCCCATATACATGTGATTGTCTATCATGCCAGTGCTTCAGAAAATTTTAAAGAGAGGGTATTTAAATCAGTTCAGAGACTGGCCAGTTATTGAAGAAATCTGTTGAGAGACTGGCAAGTTATAGAAGAAATCAGTTCAAAGACTGACAAGATATTAAAATATTTTGGCATTCTCTGGAATCATTTGAATACTCAGGCTCATTTTATGTATAAATACATATCAGGTAATTTAGCAAAATTGTTTGTTACTATCTTTACCTTTCACTCATTTGTGCATTCTTACAATATTCATCACTGTTTTATGTTTTTATTTTATGGATAAACTATATTTTATCACAATTCTTTTTTAAATGTTTAGATTTGAAATAAATATCGTACTTTATTACTGCGCTGTAAAAAATGGGACCCTGTCCGCAAGCATTTTGCTTTTAAGTGTATACCACCGTTTCATTTTAGGATTTTATTTCGGTTGTAATTTTGCTTTTGTACTTGCATTGCTTAGTTATGGAAATAAATGAAATTGAATTGTATTGAACTGACTTGAATGAATTCATTTTCTTTTGGTGATTCTTTTGTTTTCGTTGAGATCAAGAACCAATGTTCTTGTATGAATGAATTAACCTATTGACTACTGAATTATTTTATATCCTTAGGCTTTTATACAGAACCCACCCGGTTCCAGTAGGCAATGGGTTACTAGGAGGGGAGACGAGGATGTGGAGGGTGAGGGGTAAATCATTAGAAGAGGGGGTGTAGGCCGGGAGAGGAGGAGTGAGATGAGAAAGAGAAGGAAGAGAAGAGGAACGAGAAACGAGGAGGGTGAAGGAATTGAATGAGGACAAAAATGCATTTAACAAAACAAACAAGTGGAAGTACAAGAAATGACTTATCTCACACTTCAACCTCACATTGCGTACGTTATGATAACATTTGGCCCTTGGTGCTACAGACAAAACCGTTTTCATAAACAGTGCGTCCCAGAAAAAAACGGAACCGAGAATTATTGATGTTTTATCATAATTTAATCACGATTATAATAAATAAATGACAGATATTTATTAAAAATGAGATCCTCTTTCATTTGATGCAACTTTTATGATGCATTATTTACGCATGTGTAGTTAAAAACAATTTGAAAAAAGGGGTACCACAAAGTCATTTGGCGGGCCGTATCTGAATTTCAAAGACAAAATCTGCGTAATTTTTTAGGACTGGAAAGTAAAAATACTATTTCAAAATATCTTATTAACTTGAGTTGCTAAAATATATCACATTTTGACATACAGCAAAGAACTTTAGAAAAATTTGCCCCAAAGGGAAGCTGTAAAGTGGTTCAGCATATAGTTTTGCTAAAACGTTTCCAATAAATCCTGCTCAGAGATTGAATGTGGAGAACTGCAATATCATTGATGTCGAAAAAAAAATCAACTACACATTACAAATGATCAAGCAAAATGATCAAAGGAGTTTAGTTCATACAAATACACATTTAAATGCACTATGCTTCCTCATAGTCGTACACCACCAATGTCAGGAATGTTGAACTACTGTTGAACTACGGCCCTCCATCCTAGAACGGGTCCTGGATGTTGGAGGGCTGGCCTGTCCCTTGCCTCTATCACCGTCATCTGACGAAGAATTTGCCATCCTGAATAATGCGAGCGGTTTATATTTGGCTTGTAGTTTAGAGGCCCTGACGTGGCTCCGTTTTCCCAAAGTATATGAGTGTGGAGATGAGAGGTGTTTTGGATAGCTGGACGTGTATTCTCTAAGAGAGGGTTATATTACGTCAGTCTATGGAGACTCAACTAATCACACGTTATGAAACGATGGATTGTTTAACTGTATACTTTATTAATACAAACATAAGTCAACTTCTCCAACACGTTATCATAGTTAACACCGACACCAATTAACTGTATTAATCTCAACAAGTAGTAAAGGCAGGGGTTGCCTTTTGTAGGAACTCTATTTCTCGCTTCCAGTCCTTTTCCTTACTTTAGCTCAGCTGGAGCAGAGCGGAGAGTTCGCTATCTGACCAAGACGAGAGCCAGCGTCGAAGTGACGAAATACCCGCTGGTTACTGCTATTTATATCATCTGAGACGTTTGTTGTTGTTGTTGTTGTTGCGAATAATGGAGTTTCCATCGTCATTCGATGATTTCCGCCAGGCAATGTGAGAGGGCGTAGTTACTGGTCCTCTCTTAATACTTTTACTGTTGGATCGACGATAGCCTAGTGGCGTTGTGTTGTGCAATTAACAATGTCAGTAAATTGTTAGTAGTTATTTTCTGTATTGTTATTCGGCTTGTTATTTTAAAGAATTCATTAGGAAAGAAAGGATGAAGTGGTTGAATATTAGTTGCGATCAGTTCATTACGTTAGGACCTTAGTTTAAAACCTCTCTCCGTATAATGAAGCAATTTGTACAATTTATACAATGAAGCAATTTATGCCGAGGATAGTACCACTGTCACTAATACTAATAGATAATGTAGCAAAACGTAACTAATACTCGATTAATACTTAATTAATACGCAATTAATGTTTATAGCTGAGCATCACAGTTCATTGTACCTTCCACTGCCTTTTAAAAAAGCTACCACCTTTCCTATGTATTCCTCATTTCCTAGTAATTGACCTAGATTTGGATTTTGAGTTTTTAGTGCTCTATACATTCTCCTTCGTTGTCTTTCATATTTTGGACATGATAAGATGGGAGTTGTTGCTACCTTGTTAGGCGTTCAACAGTAAGGGATAGAGCAACGTCGATCTGGCGCTGCTCAGTGGCTGCCGGGCTCACGATCAATTGGGCAAAAAGAATTTCCGTTTCGGTTTAATAAAATTTGGAGTGGACTATTAGGCTATTATTATTATATTATTATTATAATAAAAAGTGCTCAATTGTTTCTATCGTTTGGCATTCTACACATAATCCAGTGTCGTGTTTTCTAATTAAATATTTATAGTAATTCAGGTTACATTTACCAAGCCTGAATTGGTGGATTAATCTTTCGTCCTTTCTGTTCAAACCTTTGATTTTAAAAACATTATTTACATTTTTATTGATGCTATACAAGTGTCTTCCATTCTCCGCTTTATCTCAGAGGCTTTGCCACATGGATTTATAAAAAATATCTGATTCACTTACGAACTCACTTTTGT